CATCTTACATTCATAAAAACTTAAGTCTCTGTACTCATAAACTTTTAATCTGATTATATGAGAGAAATTAAAGTCATTTTATCTTTTTATTCTGTGTTATTATATAAGAGTTATGATATTTATGTATATGTATGATTTATTCAAGCGGATGCAGAAAAATTCTCTGCAGGGAATAGCTGATGTGCATATCAAAAGTGTGAATCGGATGGATATGTGTAAGTTATTCATGTTACTACAAGTATTTGTATTTTCTTGGAAACGGAAAGACCCTGAAAAAGATAAAAGGTTACATGCATGTTTCCGCGTTTATGATATCGTCGAAATGATAATTTAATGTTAACTACAATTGCAATGTAATTGCAGAGGCATTTAAATACATTAATATGCATTAAATCTCTCTCGTAGCCATAAAACATTGGAAATATATCGATGGCCACTTTAAAAAGCAGACATCGAGAGAAAAAATTCTTTTCAAACGAATTCGTACGATCCATCTAGAAAAGGAAAAAAGATGAATCATAGTTCTATTTTGTCGATACTTATAGTACTTCACAGCGACATTTACAGAATCCAACAAACTGTAATAAAAGGCAAGAGAATGGACCCATGTTTTTTAAAGGAATGCTGCATTCGCTGATGAGAGAATACTTGAAGCTTGAGTTTAGCGGAGTTGGTTACAGAAGCTTTCATCGTTTCTACAAAAAGCTTGTATCCAGTCTCATACGTATACTACGGCAGGGAATGCTATATTACTATTCAGAAATGCATGTTGGGCCATTTTAATCAAGAACAAAAGTTCTAGTATGAAAAGACGCAAAAGCATTCATCTTTACGCAAAAATCATGATGCAATATGATATTTGTCAATGTACCATATCAATTTGCATAGAAATCTATGTCTGAAAAAGATTTCCATCAATAGTAAAATAAAAGGTACGGAGGTCAGTACTGTATCAATTAAATTAATTGCTCCGTCAATTACTAATTTCTATCTCTGTGTTACCTCGAAATAAATCGAATCGTTGGAAAAATTTTGACAATTCAATTTCTATCAATACGTAAAAGGAAAACGTACGACTGCATTTGACGCATACGAATTTGAGTGGGAGAGAGGCACATCTGCCTCTGAAAAGTGAAATGATTTCTATTTATCGTTCCAAGAAAGAAAGTAAGAAGAGATTGTCAATATGATTTTTTTGAATTTTATTTGTTAATGCACGATTTTTATTCGATATACTCATATACATAGCCATATATTTTACTTAGAGTCATCGACAAATTTAGTAGAAAATTCGATAGATATGACACAAATTAAAACGATTGTTGGAGCAAGAGCAATTAGTTCTCGTCGTTAATATCGAGCGAGACTCTTCGTTAAAACATTTAGCTTAATTTAACGTGGAATTATCGCGTCCATTACACCCTTGAACTAGTCGAGCGCTTCTAACGTTTCAATAGGTTTTTTATTTTTTACTTTCTTTTTTTGTTAAAAATGTCGTAAAATCCTTTAAAGCTTGAAAAAAGTTCATTCCTATCTTCATTTCGGTTGGTCCGTGCGATTCATGGAATACGATCTGGACCATTCGTTACTTTTATGCGAAATTTTTAGTTTTTGTATCCACAGAATGAAACGAAATATCATACCCATTTCGACTGAGAAAAGAAGATAAAGGGTTTTTCACTATGCGAATCACATGGAAATCTTTTTGTTCAAATAAATGAAATTTTTAAAAAAATTCTGATCGCTAACGAAAGAGTTAAAGCATTGATTTTCAACAACTTAGATATATCGACGGTGGCAGCTAATTATACGAAGAAGTAGCACGACGTCTTAATTATAACGTGCTTTCAGTCCTTTTAAGGGATACTCTTAGCGCAAGTGGTGTCCGTGGTTAATTGCATCGCAGAGATGCATCCGAGGGTACCGTCGTGTCTTTAATTGAAACCGTGCGACGTTTTAAAATTTCAATTTTTCCATGGCACATAGTCACAAGAACCTGAGAAATGTTTCGTTTGAAAAAGACGCATGTTCTTTTGCAAAAACAAAGAAAAAATACTTGAAGATCGAATGGCACGAAGAAAAGAGGAGAAAATGTGTATAGAAATAAAGAGAGAAAGGAAAAGGAAATGAAGAAAAAGTGGAGCAAGAAAAGCTAAAGAAAGATGAAAAACGATGAAAGCTAAAGTTCGACGAAGAGAAAGTAAAAGCTTTGGAAGGGTGGTAAACGAGAAAGGGAAGATGAAAGTTCAATCGTACCGATCTGTCTTCGTCCTACCGACGGAGAAAGAAATTAAAGAGAAAGAACGAATATCGTATTCTGCATCCCTAAAAGAGAAAGAAAAGAGCTGAGGAAAAACGATCAGAAGAATTTTTCTACCTTCTTCATATTTCCTATCATTTTTCTTTTAACATTTTGTTTCTTAGCTTCATCTCTCTCTCTCTCTCTCTCTCTCTCCCCTCTCTCTCTCTCTCTCTCCCTCTCTCTCTCTCTCTCCCTCTCTCTCTCTCTCTCTCTCTCTTTCTTTGGCTTCACTGTTTTCATTTGCGACAATTATTGAAATATTTCATTCCGCATAAGATTTCTTCGAGTCGACAATACTAAATGTTTTCTTCGCATTGTGAAAAAGATGAAATAATTTTCTATTTCTCTGATCGATTTACTTGACCTCCTTCCTTTTTATTTTTTTTTCTATTAATACTTTCCCATCATTCTACATTTCTTTTTTAGTCCTCTTATATTATAAATCTAATAAAACATACGATTTCTTCAAATAACTTATCTATTATTATTTCTTACTTTATACATTTACTATAATTATATCGTTGAAATCGTAGATATAGAGAAATGGGCGACGCGTCACTTCACCTGCTTTATGTATATATGATCGTATATCTCCATTGTTTCAGCGACCTTTAGACCGACAGGGAGTATGTAAATGTGCAGTATAGTTAAATTTCTGCAATGGCACGATAATCCAAGCCTTCATAATTCATAGGTAGAAATTCATAATGGAAAATTTATTGTGAAATCCCGTGTATATATATATATATAAATATATTTATGCATGTATGTACGTATAAATATAGTAGACTCATTATTTATAAGATTAATTATATAACCATTATATAATTAAGTATTAAAAACATATAATAAAGATTATTCAGAATATTTTCTCGTTTTAAAGATGAGCATTTCATATAAAAAAAAGAAAACCATTTCATTTTCACGGAAAGAAAATAATTAAATTCATCGGATACAAACGGAGTAAGGTCTAGTCTATATTTTTTATTATTTACAAACTTCATTCGATTCGTTTTGTCATACGATAAAATATCTCATCTCTATCCCTATCGAGAGGTTGATCGATTCTATGAAAACAAGCTTTCGTCGGCACGCGTCTGTGACACCAACAATCTCTGTTCGAGTACCATTTGATCGAGCGCGCTCCACTCGAGCGCCACTTCAATCGTATTTTCCAATTCGTATTTTATAATCGCATCGCACTGACATCATGCTTATCACCTATCACATGGACGAACTATGATAATCGAACGTCAAACTTTTCTACCCGTATCACACCACCCTCCTGAAAGGATAAGTTGTTGATTTCGATCAGCATCGTATTGCCATTGATGAAGTACCACTTTATCGTGATCTATCATCATCTACGAAAAATATATCGTTGTTAACTCCAATGGATCAAATTATTATTATTATTATTATTATTATTATTATTATTATTATTATTATTTCGTTGAATATATCGTTTCAATATATAAATATATTTTTTATTCAAACATATAGATTTTTTTTTAATATACATGCCTAAATACAATATTAAATAACGTACGTTAATAAATCTCGTACGATTGAACATTCTAACGATTAATTATACATATAAATATTTTATCAAATTCAATTTTATTTCCCTCCATTGTCTACCTTCAAAATTACGTTAAATTTCAGTTAATTCCACGTAATCGCAATAACAATAAAATTTCAATAGCTTTTGTTATGCAATCGTCACTTAAACTGAAAATTTATTTTCACTATATGAGAATGCCGATGAGATATAAACTATTCACGACAAAAACCACTTTGCATCCCATTTCCTTGATTAAAATCTTCCTGAATTATATTGCCGTTCAAATTTATCACTTATTATTGAATCTATAAAGATAAATGATTATTAATATGTCCATATTTTAAATATATACAAATATCTGATCAACAGACAATTTAATAATCTTTATTAAAAACTGAAATTGTTTAAATTAGTTAACATACTTATATGTAAAATCGGAATTCACATAGAAATATGCAAAAAATGAACAATTAAAAATAAATGGATTTTTTGTATGTAAGTGTTATATACTAGGGCCATTTGAAAAATTTATGACCTTATCCACAGATTATGATAATGAATATATTTCATTCTTAAAATGAAACACATCTTAAAGTGAAAAAAAGAGCCGCGAATTTTTCAAATTGTCTTCGCATTGCAATTACAAGTGTATGAAGCCAAAAACAAATTGACTCTTCTTATATATCTTGAATGTAAAAATGCTTAAATTTTACTCTTATAATAGTAATTAAAGGGATGGCACGTTTGGTACACGTTGTGAATTTGGTGCCAAAATATTCGAGGGTTCTGATACGGAAGATAGATATATAGATACCCATTAGATCTCTGGTTATACGTGAGCTGTAAGTTGTAAAGCAGAAAGCCTACCTATATACATATGTACGTTTTTCAGCCGTGTCTGCCAATAATAAATGTAGTTAACGACTGGAGTTGAATTTATAACGTTAATCCTGCGAAAGGAAGTACTTCATCTTTTTATATTATTATACGTATTCGTAAAGTTTTATCAACTTAAGCAGAATGCGATAGAACGTTTAAGATTTTGTTTGATAATTTAATTTTATTTAGATATTTTATTTCTTATTTAACGATAAAATTTTATAAATCTTATTTTTGTTTTTCCTTTTATTTCAGTTGTATGCGGAGTTGGAGTGGATGTGGCGTACCGTCGACACAATATGGGCCTTTACGTTACGTGAGGATAATTCAACATGCGTATACCGTAATTCAATTCACGCATTATCCAGATTCAGAGAAAAAAAATATTGACGTTAGATTAGAAACTCGATTCAATCCTAAATTTGATGTGTTTTTTACGTTCTTATCTCGTTACCTAACGAAAGAAGGGGAAAAAAAAAGAAAATTAGTAAACAAGTACGAAGTAGGAATAAAACGTGGCGTAATGAACGACGATTTCCATCGAAGACGACGGAAAACGTAATTTCATCTTTCTGCTCACAATTTAATTTTAGAGAAGATTTAATTATTACAGTAGGAAACGAAGGACGGAAGAAGCAAAAGAAAGAATTAAATTACCATTTCGATAATATTTAGTCGATTTGAAAAACTACTCGATAATTTCTTTTTCTCCCTACATACATATTACGTAAGATAAGTTTAATAATAAATATATCTCCAATGTCTTTCAATATCATTAAGAAAAATGTACAAGTTTGTTTGTTTAATTGCATTCTATCAATAACTATGCGTACTCTCAACGAACATATGAAATTCTTTAATATCAGTTAGAGGCGGTCTTATTCTTTCAAAGAAAATAACTTCAGCGTCTATGACAATTTTTTATTCTCCATGTACTATCCTATTTATGTAGTTTGAGAATAAGAAGAAAAAAATTGAGAATAATACTTGATATTTTCCGCGAATTTAGTTATTCCGTCATTACGCGAATTTAGTAATTTGCATTAATATAAATTTTCATTGTTGATCCAACGAATCAAGATTATTCTATTTTTAAATTGATGGCATGATAGTAGAGAAATAGAAAAAAAATATTTTACGTTACTTCAAAAAGATGTTTTTTTTTTAATACTTAACGCTTATAAAATCTTTGTTTTATTTAACGAATGAGTTATTTCGTTTTAATTGTCATTCATTTTTGTTAAAAATATTACATGCTTATACTTACATGTATGCACATACACACATATATATTTTTTAGTTTCTAAATTACTTTATATTCCTTATTTATTCAGTTATAGTCATTCTTTTCTGATCTTTGTCATCGTATTCCATCCCAGTTGTTTTCATATTTTCATTAATCTCATTTCTTTTTTTTTACTCTTTTTTCGTTCATTAACATATTTTCTTTTTTTGTTTACGATACGTTTTTTACGTCATAAACGAAGTAGATATATAATCTTCATATCCACCCGCTATTTAATTTACGAAAATCTCAACACAATTATGATTATTTCATTTTTAATTCTATTTCAGAGCCTCGTCCCTGATGATCTTTTTTCTCGAAATCACCTGGGCCATCACTTTATTCGTACAGATTTGTGTCAGGTATGTTCATCATGTTAAATAAATCATTTATCATATATCTTGCTTGCATACTAACGAAGTTCATCGTACGAAAAAAACAAGGTCACTCAGAACTCGGTGAATTTTCTTTTGCATTTAAATGTTCGAATCATATTATTAAGACCTGTGATTTTCTTATCAAATAAATTGAGATTCTTATAAATGATTTTGCATCAGAGAATATCTATTCTTATTCAATATAATGAGATATAAATCATACGAAAACATAATTCGTTGAACATGAAAATCAAATAACATTGTTCGATAAAAAACAAAAAAGAAAAAAGAGTAAGGAAAATAAAAAAAAAATAAAACAAAATAAAGAACTACGAGAAATCCGTAAATTTATCCTCGCAAAATTCACAAACATGAGGGCTTACGTTGGCTCACCACCCTTTTTTCTCGCGTGAATTTTTTTTTTTTTTTTTTGATTTCATAATTACGTGTATAGGAATTAGAGGTGGATTCGCAGAAAGTTACACAGCATCGTGGCACTCGAGGTTCCCAGAGAAAAACGAAATTCGCGTTAATTAATATTATTGTGAATAACCTCGGAGATAGCACCACGACCACGATAGCCGTGGGTTGAAGAGTAAATTAGAGAGATTCGTTAAAGCCTCTCATAGTTTAGTTTTTCTGGAAAAAAAAAGAGTCGACGAAGTAAGCTGGCAATTACTAAGTCGAAAAGTTTAGCCCAGTTTTCGTTGTATTACTAAAACAAGTTCGGTATGCGAATAGAAGGATAAAAGAAGGGTGAAAGGATAAACGAAGAGAGAGAGAGACAGAGAAAGAAAGAAAGAAAGAGGAAAGGGGCACGCAACGATAGAACGACGCCAGTTTGGAATCCAAAAGTTCGCCAAACTCATCTCAGCGAAGGAGAAAATTCGGGTGATCTAGGAAACCTGTGCGCGCGCGTCTTTAGTCAGCGTTTATATGTGTGTCTGCTGGTAAAAGAAGAAGTTGAAAGAGAAACGAGGACGGGTCTTTATTGACCGACTTAGTCCCATCTATCTCGATCCGACACGTCGCATTTCGGAAGTTTACGCCCTTGTCGTAGCCATTAAAACGCTTGGCTACGACCACTCGATATCTCGTTTATAACTAAAGTAGTTACGACTGACAGGGAAAACATGCTGACTGGCATGAAAGACGTGATAATCCATATCCCTGGTACTCCTAATCTTTTAGCTTATCTTCTTATTTCCTTAATTCTTTTATTATTTCACATGAAAATAAGTCAATATTTTTTTTTATTTTTCTTGTTTTTTTTTTTTTTTTTTTTTTTTTTTTTTTTTCTTTTTTTTTATACAATAATCATAAGTAAAGCAAGTAGAAACACATTGCTTCCATTTAACTAAATAGAATATTTTCAATTTACTCATCGACATAAATTTTCACGAGACACAACCCTTTTTCGTTTTTTATTCGTCTCGTATATACCGAATCAATAAAAGAGGAGAGAAGAGGCAAAAAAACATAGGATTCTATTGCTCTCTCGTCTGGCTTTCGTCTAGTATAGCTGCAATTCATAGAATCGCTCCCTAGTTCAAGTCCATCGTAGATACGATTTAATTCAAGTGCGATAAATCTCACGAAGCGAAGTGCTCTTTTTTTTACGTTAAAACTATTGGAATATAATATGAGTAATCGAATGGCCAATCGACAAGAGAGTATACATTTTCAACATAGTTTTCTTCGCAAGCATTTATTTTCATTCTTTTTTCTCTTTGAGTAGATATTTTGCAAAATATGATTTTTGTTATTGAAGGATAAAAAATCTCTCTTTTGCTCGATTGATTTGTGAAAAAAAAAGGACTAAAAAGTGAGATAGCGTACAACAAAATAAGCGTAAGAGATAAAATCGTGACTTTTGTTTTTAGAAATGAAGAATCCCTTTGTTCGTATTGCTGGTCGCGCGTACTCGCGATAACGAAGGGTTGGCGAAGAGCATTGTTTTATCTACCGCTGTCCTGCATTTTGGCGTGGAAACCACACAAACTCGGGCTTTCCTATGTCGCGGGTAAGTTGGCAAACGGAATGCTTAAATGCGTCATGCGTGCAACTTTATGAGATCTCTTTTCCGGCTTTCCCTTAATAAATAATGACGCGTGAATGCCGTGAATAAATTCACGGCCAAGCACAAATACCCTAACAGAATCTTTGTATCTTTGTATTGTATTACAAGGAATTTTTAATACGACATATAATTTGCCTTCTTGTTTAATGTTATCGATTAAAAACACGAAAAAAAAAAAAAAGAAAAAGAAAATGAACTCCAAAGTGCTATCGAAGTCTCGGAGTTTCCATAAGAAAAGTGAATAATCTAATAGAAAAGTTTTCGAGAGAACACGAGCCGCGATTAAAATCCAAGTTTTAAGATAAGAATCTTTCCGCATCCTCGTTGACTCTCGCTTCGGATTGAATTTCTCTCTTTTATTCGGTTAAAATAAAAAATAAAAATAAAAGAAAAAAAAAGAATCAATTACGATATACACGGATCGAACGTTTATTAAAGTACATTTACATTTCTTTTGTAAATGACACAATTTAACATATTATGTACAAAATGTAATGTGTCTTTTCACGATATCGCATGATGAATAAACGAACATATTTCTTCGAGAAAACTTTATGTTTCGATTTTAACACAGACGCCATCATACTTGATAACTATATTAATGATTCATTTTATAAACGAGAATTGATCATGCTCTACTTAACTGCTCGTAAGTTTATGTAAAAATTGACATGCAAAGACCGACCGAAAGTTTAGCCCTAAAAATTTTTATTTAAATTTATACGAATTAAAAAATATCGGACTAATACCGTGAACTACATCCAAACATTATGTAATTTATTATACAATTATGAATAAACTTTTTACTTTTATTTTCAGCCGGCTTGTTAGTAATTTTATCTTTATTGCACATTGCTTCGAGCGCTTTAGGAAGACGTATTTCCTGCCAATCAAGCTCCGGGACAGATTCTGTTGGGGAAAGTCTTCTAAACACGAGACCCGAAAATTATGATCGCTTCGAAGAAGTTTTGGTAAGTGGCTTCAAAAGAAAAAAAAAATGAAACAAAAAAGCCAGAATAAGTTTGAATAAGTTTATCTCTGTTTACTAATACATATATATATTATTGTAAGAGATAATAATACAGAGCGAGGATTGAATAAAATTTGTATTGACTGTTAATATCACATAAATATAGATATAATAATTTAGTAGGAATCATTTGTAAAATAATATTTTTACTAAAGGTACCAGAAGTATTAGACGACGGTGTGTCTGGACCAACAGTACGAATCGGTGACAGCGATGGAGAAATATGACACGAGCGTCAACCCTCTTGGGTCAGTGAATCCGATGAAGATAGTGAGCCAGAACCAAAGACGTGTCAAATAGCTACAGTATCTTAACTTCTTTGAAGTTTGGATAAAGAGGAAACACGTGTTCAAACGTGTATCGAACGATACGTGTAATATCGAGCAACCAGACAGATTTCTTCGTCCGGCATAATTAAGTATAGGGCATTAATAACACATAAACTCGAAATTAACAAGAAAAAAAAAAGAAGAAAGGGAAAAAAAGAGAGACAAAGAGAAAGAATGAGATAAAGAAAGAGAAAGAGAAAGAAAAAAAATAAGCTACGTTTAAGAAAACTCTTCGGGAGATTTTTCGAGAATAATTTTAATAGACCGAAGTCAATAAATGTACGTGTATTACGGAAAAATCATATATTGAATGGAAAACAGTATAATGAAAAAGCGATATTAGGAAAGACTGAGTTACCGTGCGTTATAAAATTATGCAAACATTTATAACAACAATAAAATTTGATACACGTAATCAAAAACAGAAAGTGAGTATTAGAAATGAGTAAATAGATTTTAAATAACACAACTCATTATGTTTTCGTATATCCTTCTTTTTATTTATTACGATTTTTATTTATTATACGATTAACTTTAATAAAAACAAAAAAGATATATACAAAATAAATTCTAAATCACATTTAAATGCAAATAGAGAAAAAAAATGCTTTAACGCGATATGTGGATTATAAGTCAAATTAATGAATATACGTTTCCGTTCATTAACAAGAAATTGTACAAATTGTCATACAAAGGTCAAAGCTGAAATATCGAGTAACAAATATTTTTGTTAGTTGATATAGAAGCATATTTCATACTTATGCGTGCTTTTTTACACAATGATAAACTGTAATATTATAGCTCATTATGTATACAAATATGCAACGTATAATCACGTAATGTACAAAAGAATTATGAATATCGGTGCTGATAGCTCAATGTTATGTATTATATAATGTATCATGAAATTTTAATATAAATACCAAGATTGATAATAAAACTTGGAAATACATAATTGGTTATCAACTCATTAAAGGCACAATAATAAAATGATACTGGAACTGTTGTAATTAATAATATTTTATACGTGTGTAAAAGGTATACATAAATATTTAAAATCATTTAATATCGAAAACATTTTACAATGTTATTTAAGCCTGTTTTACTATAAACCTTTATAAATAATCAATAAATATAAATTAAAAATATCATTTAATTCCATTTATAAAGATTGTTAACTTATATAATATATACCACATAAACACCATTTCACACAAACACCTATTTTTGTTAATATGTAAGTAATTGATATTAATTTTTTACGTACAAAAAAGATTATTAATTCTCTCAATATTGTTATACAATATACATATTACTTTTATATATACTGTAACATGGTTATTATTCATTTTAATAAATAATAATTTTATAAAAATCTTTAAATAACTTTCAACACATTAATGATGACACATAAAAACAAAAATTAAATCATTCTCTATTCATACTGTATTTTTTATAAACATTTAATATTTCCGATATTTATATAAAAACTGTAGTTAAAATTATAATAATTCTATAGAACAGACACATAAAAAAATATTAAGTATTATACCATATATGTACATTCTTAAATAAATTAAGCATTTGCTGCATTAATATTATTTAATAGAATGTTTAATTAAACTTTTAGTCTAGTTTCTTGTGATTTCCAATTTATAATTTCATCTAAAAGTTTTATTAATAATGGATTTCCTCCAAGACGTTCTATTTCATCTCTAGCTTTTCTATCAATTGATTCAAGAACTTGTCTTGTATAAGCAAATGATCCAAATTTTTCTAATAAATTTACACAATAACGTTTTACTTCAACATTCTTAGTTCGTTGCCTTAAAATATCTTTATTATAAAACATTAAGGAATATTCTTTTTAAAAAACCGATTAAATTATTAATTTATATATAAATATCAAAATAGTGAAAGGATACTCATTATCTGATGATCTTCGGGATGACTTCTTATCGCATGAATAATAGGAAAACTGAATTTCCCTTCAGATAAATCTTCACAGTAACTTTTGTTTTCTGTATACTGTAAAAGTTAGATTATTCAAATTAATATCTTAAAATATTTATATTCATAAAAATTATTTTAATGCAAAAAATGTTACTGTGATCTTACTTCTTGATTACATAAATTACAGTAGTCATCTCGTATTTGAAAGTAAAGACCTATAATTCCTGCTAGTTGTGAAAAATCTTCCTTGCAAGTGGAAAATAGTTGCATTAATCTCACAGCTAAGTTGAAGAGTCCACCAGTTTCTATTGTGCATTTAAAAATAGATTGAATAACATTAATTAATATATATATGCATATACAAATACACACATTTTTGTTTATAATTACTATATAAGTTTTTTCTATGACCTATTACAAATATACATACTTCAAGCAATTTTATACTGTCTTACTTTTAATAGTCATATGCTTGTATTCTGATTCAGATGGACAAATATAATTATCTCTCCAATATATATCCATGCCTTGACCTCTATGAAGTTCTAAAATTTGTTCTGTGAATACTTGTGTGGCCTAATGAAATATTTGATATTCATTAGTAGTAATAGAATTAAACAAAATTAAAATAAAATCACATTAAAGAATTATTTACGTTATTACTAACCTCTGGGTGGTTTAAGGAAAGTACTTTCTCTAAAGAAATAAATAAAACATAATTTGCAGCATTTATAGTACTTGGCACACCATAAATAGAATGTGCTACTGGAATGCCTCTTCTTAGAATAGAATTATCTTGAATATCATCTAGCCTACAATGAGGAATATAAAATAGTATATCATTAAATATCCAATAATTATGAATATTCTTTTCTATAAATTTACTTCATTTATTTTAAAAAATATAAATATTTTATCAATCAATCAAAATATAATTTTTATACATAGGATTATTTAAATTAAGTAAAAATAAAATATATAAAATATTATAAAAGGATAAAATTTTTTTCAACCCACAAAAGACTAGAATTATGTAGCATTTGTATTATATTTCCAACAGCCTGAATTTTATTATCAGGTATTTTTAACCAATAGTTAAAAGCATTTGCTAATTTAGTTCTTATCTGTTTCCCAGGAATTTGAAGAATATAAGTAAATGGTTGAAGTAATATCTATAAAAAGAAATACAGGATTCAATATAATAATTTTCAATACAATAATCTAAAATAATTAAATATTATAAATATTGTATATCACATTTATCATTACTTATAGAATTTTGATAATTTCAATCTAAAGCTAAAAACAATACGCATTTGCTTTCTATTTTTAGCATAATAATAAAACAAAGATGTGTTAAATTAATAACATTATTTATAAATATTATCATATATTGTGTGTCATATGAAAATATAACAAAATACTGACCTTATCTTGTTCATGATCACCTTTTTTTGTGTAAGGAATACCATTACTATCTATTTCCATGATTTACATATCTTATTCAAATGAAACATAAAAAGTTTGTTTACTTTTTATACCAAATATTTAAAATAAGATCTTAAATTAACAATTTTAAAGTTATAAATAATCTTTTACAAAAATACTAAATTAATACTTCATCGATTTTCTGCTTATAGTATATTACTACTTACAATTACCTACAATTAATGAGACAAATTTATTATCATAAAGATACTAAAAGGGCATATTATCATTAACTTTAATATCATTTTCACGACTCCGTCATGTCGATTTTCCACTACGTATTTTCTTTAAGAAAGAGAGTTAGATAGAGTTGCCAATAGACGATATAATCACTACTAATACCATCTGTCGGTTGAAAGAACACATTACATTATTTGTATTAATAGCATTTGGTTTGTAACATTACCATTTGTTTTTAATTGATTTGCAAAAAGTCACTATATTTCATCTCCGTTAAATACCCGATGAACAATTCTCTAGGAGTCCGATTTCGATATTCCATTAATTTCGATCTAATAAAAACTTTATTACAATAGCCTTTGTTCTTTTTATTTATCGCACTATAGCCTGGTCACATGTATTTTCCATGATAAAGAAAGATAAGATTTCGATCAATAATGTTGATCGATTTGACCATTGTAATAGTCGAATAGATTAACAATAATAGTTTTGATATGACAATAATAATAACAGTCAAAAAATTAAATAGTTGGAATTCTATTGTTCCCACGAATAGCCAATCAGAATGCAAGATTATTGGCGCGATAAATGGAATGTCTATAAAACAACTGTGTAAATCAAAGAAATTATTTAGGTAAATTTTAGATTAAAATTTTGTCTTGTGAAAATAAACCCTTAAAATGAATCATTCGTACAATAAAATGTATTATATGGATTCTGAAGAATCACAAAATTAAATATTTAGTTAAATATTTAGTTAATCAATTTGTTTCTTTGTTTATATCGTTTTATATTTATATAAATTATATCAATTTATAATAGAACAAATATATATATATATATATATATATATATATATATATATATATTTGTACTCATCCAAAGATAATATAATGAAAAATTGATTCCACTATAATTGATAAATTTACTTTTAAAATTTAATTACTTAAAAAGTATTTTTCAAATATAATCTATATCGTAGGAAATGAAGTCGAATCCACCGTAGAAATGCTACATTACGGAACATTATATACCTTACAGCTCTTACGTTACGGTTATTGTTACTGTTACAGTAAGTGTTAGGAAAGTTTATGAATTAACTCTCTAGCTATAATAATTAATAAACGTTAAAATTAAAACTAAAGCGAGAAAAGTCCTGCAAAGTTAATTTATACTAAGAATGTTTAAATGTTTCTACAGTTTTGGCGACACATGCGTTACCTATTGACTCTGTCGCGAAGTATAACATTTGTATAAGAGCGTTCCACTATTTGAGTCAATTTCATTATCAATAAATAAATATTCTTTATTTATAATTACGTATGATATAATAAATTATAGAATAATTTATTTTATTTTACTTTATAAAATTTACAATTGAATATATCGAAAGTCAAGCATATTCATATAATCGATATATTCGAATACACAGCTAATATTTATCGATATGCTATCGAAATATTGTATTAATCAATAATATTTCTAAGTTGGTAAATATTTATGATTCTAGAGACATTTTCCATAAGAAACGTTTTGTTTATGATATACGACTAGATATTTTAAATTTATATTATTCATGGAATTATATTGTTTATAGTATTAGAAAAAAATGAATTCTGCAAAAAGTAATGGTGAAACTGGAAATGGATTAGAGGATCTTGGTATACCTGGACAAGTTTACTTAAGAGATGCTTTAACAAGTTGTACTGATCCTTTAAAAGCAATTGAAGAATTTCAGGTACTTTGAATTAAAGACAATTTTATAAAACTTACTTTCAATTTCATTGATATATACATTTATTTTTTTAATACAGCTGGAAAATGGTATCCTTTTGCCTTCTTTACGTCCTATGTTACCTTTACTCGATTTGCATGGAGTCAGACGATTAGATTTTCATGCTTCTGTGTTAGAAGAATTAAGGGAAAAATTGGTAAAACGAATAAATGAAATAGGTGCGGAAAGAGTCGATAAAGGAACCCCAGGTGATAGAAGATTAAAAGAATTACTTTCTAAAAGTTTTCCTGCAGTAAGAGTAGCAGCATTAAGGCCTGTTGTAATGTGTATCTTAAGAAATACACCACAAATAGAAGATAAATATTTGCGTGTATTAGTTAGAGAAAAGGAATTATATAATGATGCTGATACAGAAGTAAAACGTCAGATTTGGAGAGATAATCAAAGTCTCTTTGGGGATGAAGTATCACCATTATTTAGTCGATATATTATAGAAAAAGAGCAAATTCTGTTTGATCATCGAAATTTGAATAGTCTTTTCTTCACACCATCTCCTAAAGTAATTTGCACAGTAATTGTATAAACGTGAGTACTTTGTGATATAAAAGAGTTAATCAACTTTGTATTTATAGGTACGAAGACAAGGAGAAGTTGTACAAAAATTAGCTCATATGATTGGACATAGTGTAAAGTTATATGATATGGTATTGCAATTTTTACGTACTTTATTTTTACGTACAAAAAATATACATTATTGCACTCTTAGAGCAGAATTATTAATGGCCTTGCATGATTTGGAGGTAAGACAATAAGATTTGTGATAAAATAAATTTAAAGTAAATGTGCAGCCTCAAATTCGGAATTAACATGTTATTTAGGTTCAAGATATTATTTCAGTTGATCCTTGTCATAAATTTACCTGGTGTTTAGACGCATGCATTAGGGAAAAAAATGTGGATGTGAAAAGATCTCGTGAATTGCAAGGATTTTTGGATAGTATTAAGGTATATTAAGCATTATAATAACGTCTAGTATAATAAGAAATAGAAGTAATTTTTAATTTTATATAGAGAGGACAAGAACAAGTATTAGGAGATTTAAGCATGACATTATGTGATCCATATGCAGTGAATTTCCTTGCTAGTAGCGCAATCAAGATAGCTCTTCATTTAATTAATGGTGAAGCATTACCACGAGAAAATGCTGTTCTTGTACTATTATTAAGAATGCTCGCTCTGGGTCTTTCTGCCTGGCAAATGATTGATTCACAAGATTTCAAAGAACCAAAACTTGATAGTCAAGTTGTTACAAAATTTCTACCAGCATTAATGTCTCTTATGGTAAATATCATTATAAATATATTAATCAGTATAAAATTTATTTTGATTTTGTATATATACTTATTTTGCTTTTCCATATAATTTTTATTTTTATTATTATGTAGGTCGATGATCAAATCAGACAGTTAAATTGTAAACTACCGCCTGACGAAAGAGAAAGTGCAATTGCTATTATAGAACATTCTGGTCCACCTCCTGATGCATGCCAAGCATATGCACAATTATCTGGTGTTGCAGCAGTTTTATCTATGTATTATGCATTACATATAGGAGGTGGTGGTGGTATAGGTAGAGGAAGAGGAGATGCTAGGGGTTTAATGAGAGTATTAGCAACTTTACCAAATTGTCAAGCACAACGTGCTTTTGAAGATCCTTTTCTACATACTCTGGTATGTAAAAAATCATTCTATTTGTTTAAGAAACTATGTAGAGGATTGTATTATTTCTTTCCAGGTTTCACTATTAATATTGAATATGGCAGATGAGTTTTCTAATGAATCATTTTGTACTGTAATATTTGATGAATTCTTTCTGGCAGGCTTAAGCAGGGATAATGTAACGCGTCATTTACTAAAGTTGCTTTGGTATATTCATCCAAAATTACCACCCACGCGATTACATTCATTACTAAAAGCCTTACAACCAACTAGTCAGGTATTATTCTCAATATCTTTTAATTATATCTTACAAAGGACACATTTATACACTATTTTTTTAATATTATAATTTTTTTAGCATAATGAGGCTGTGCATATCCTTTATGAAGCTTTAAGAGATAAAGTGGGTAATCGAACCACGCAAGATCCATTACCGTCAACACAAATTGACACTTTAGGATTAGACTGTCCTCCTTCACCAATTACAGGTGTTCCTACTGCGTTATCCAATTCATTATAAATTCTAAAGTTTATAAAATAAATTTTATATATATTCATTATATATATATATATTCATTATATATATATATATATAATGAATCTAATATACATAAAAAAATGTTGTTTAAATAATAATATATTTCTATGTGAATTTGAACTAATTATAAGAATCTATAAACACACACTGATGATTTACACGGGGATACATCATTATTTATCCAACATTTTTTTTATGAAAATTAGATTTATTGTCTTTTATATATGATCAAAAAACATTGAATTATTTGTATTTCTAGTAAAACGATGACAATATATTGTATAAATAGTAAATATAATATTTATTAAAAAATAAAATAAGACACATATAATGCATATATGTATAGCTTCAATATTTCATTTTTAATCAATAGAAATTATCCCTAACTTTCTATAAAACAAATCAATTTAAAATGATGAATTCTGTAATGAGTTCAAATTTATTTAATTTCAAATATTTTTGGATTATTTGTTAATTCAATTATAAACCTATCTAAATAATATGAATCTAATTTATATGACATTAATACCATTGATATATATATTGATGCTTGTTTTGTTGCTAATAAGATTTTCAATTGTGGATCCATTATACTTAACCTGAAAATATTTTCAAAATTTAAATTATATATATGCTGTTAACATGTATGGATTAATTTTTAAAATCTACAAGATCTATTATTGGCCGAAAATCCTTACATTTTAATAATTATCAGTCCTACAAGAGTCCATTCAGCAGTTTTGAAAATTATATTTGAAGCAGATAATGAAAACGTATTCACTAAGCCTTTTATTAATGTATTACTACTATTGTCATTTATGTACTCCATTATTGTATAACACCGAGTACTATCAGCTAACATGCGCAACAAATCTGGTAATCTGTAATAAAAAAAAATGAAGTTCAAGAGTTACAATCAACTAACAGTATTAATTAATTTAAATAAAATAAAATAAATTTGAATAAAATAAAAATTACATTTTATGAAGTTTATCCAAAAAAATCTTACGACGTAACGCCTTGGGTGCATGTGCATCTATTAAAGGTAATATAGGATATGATGTACATGTTTCATTATTTTCTACAACTTTCTTAGGTTGATCTATTACCATACGTCCTTCGTAAAACGCATGCACCTGTATATTAATATGCATTTAATCTATGCACATATTAGATTATTTTAAAAATATGATATACCTTTAATTCAATTTTATCTGCTTCTTCTTGCAATACAGAAAAATGAGGTAATGGTTTTAATGTATTACTAGATAAATCTATACAATCTTCTTTCTCATCTTGTAGTTGTAACTTATTTAACTTTTTACATAGTTGTACATATCTTTCATGTTGAATAAAATTTTCCATTAATTGCAATCTTATATCAGAATCTCCTTGTAAAAAAGAAATAGTATCTTCTGTAATCCATTCTTTAACACTCTTCTCAACTCGTATAGTTAATGCATAAAATTTAGTAGAAGATTGTTCCGAATCTTCAGATATTTTCTTTTTTCTTATATTTTTTGTGGATGCATTTCTTGTTACTTTATTATTGTTCATTTTTTGTACATTTTCATATTTATCTTTTTCATTTTCAATAGGATATTCTTTTTTGTCTAAGGCATTTTGTTTGATTATTATAAATTCGTTAATTTTCTTATCTTCTTCGCATTTCTTTTCAACTATTTGTATATTAGACGTATTTTCTATTATTTTTTCTTGTTTCTCACAATCTAACAATGTTTTAGAATTTTTTGCCAAAACAGGTACTTCATAGCATTTTTGAATAATTTCAGTCTGGTCATTAAAGTTTTCATTAATTTCATTAGAACACTTAGTGTTCGTAGATAAATTAGATGCTTTTATGTTACCTATTGTATCTTGATAACTTTTCAAATTATTATTATGCACTTTAAAATCTTCTGTTTGTACACTTTTCGATACGGAATATTCTGAAGATGTATTTTCAAAAACTGTATGTTCATTTGATATAATATTTGATACTTTATCATTGTTTTTCGGTAATTTATCGTAAACATTTGTTACTTCGTCTAATATCTGACTTTCTGCTTCTTCAAATTTTTCAGCAGGTTCTATATATTCTTTATCATTTTCTGATAGAATATCATTTACGTATACTTCATCTCCAAGCATATCTCTTTTTGTCTGAAGATTTGAAGATAATAATTGAAACACTGGTATCTCCTCTTGTTCTCTTAACCAAAGTGGACTAGTGAGCATCTGTTCAAGAAGATAATTACATGCTCCATAACAATATGAACTACAAAAATTCTTTCTACGCGTAACATCATAAACTTTGTTTCTTTTTGTAGATATATGAAATTTTTGAGTAATTATTACTGTTATAGGATTTTTACAAAGAACATAACCACATAATTTCACTATTGCTCTTTCTTCGATTACATCTTCCATATGACTTTTGTTGATATGTTGCAACTAGAAAAATATACAAGAATATTTTGAACAAAATATTATATGAATATATTATTAAATTAATATAAATACCTACATTTTGAAGGAGCCACTGTGTTTCAACAATAGGTTCCAAAAGTTGTTCAACAATTTTTAAAGCTCTAGCATCGCATTGCTTTTTTTTAATAATTGCTAATTGTATTTGTGCCTTACTGAAACAAATAAAATATTTTATTATAAATAGAATTTAAAAATTAGGTCCTTTGCCATATTAAAAAAAAAAAACTATTTCTAGAGAAAATATAATTAACAAACTAACCTCATCTTTTTTCTAGCTTTTATTCTTTCACCTAATTGTTTTTTGGTAAATGAATTTATTGTAGAATCGCTCATAATGAATGAAGAATATCTGAAATGTCACACAGTAAAATACACAAGTTAAATATTTTATTACAAACTTTCTCAAAGTTTTTTTAATCACTGTCGTAGTATGAAAACAAATGTCAATTTTCTTATTCTAACCTTATAAGAGAAACGTGTTTACAATTTTTACATCAGATGAAATATGTTTTTACTACCCCGAAATTCAGTAACCCTCACTTATTCATATATTGTTCATTTAAGACTGTTCATTACCTTTCGCTCGAAACATGTGTGACTTTAGCGACAGGTATGTACAAAATATGAACTACAAACGCAAGCAGAAAAGGCTGTTTCAACATTGCGTCTATCGTACCGATATATAAGCTTGTGTTGATTGTACTCTCTTATGACAGTAAGCATAAGTACAATAGGAAATATAATATTGATTATAAAAAATATAAATAAAAATAAATATGAACGAATACAAATAAAACTACTAAATTTTAAAGTATTATAATTTAAATTAAAATTATTTTAAGTTCCTCGAGCGATACGATTTTTGTAATGTTTAAGATAATATATTATTGTTTAAATATTAGTTTACTGTACTCCTGTATATGTATATTGTATATTGTGTCCCGAAGATATTAATGTTATTATCTCTAATATTTAGAAATAGAGATCTTCGATGTTTACTCATCAGAATGGAAAATAAAACTAGTTTGACAATATATCTTAATGTAATTGGAATATTAATTCAATTTGAACGCATGTAGATACAATTGAAAATAACATTCAGTTTGTGTGTATAACTTAATACATACTTTTCTATAGAAAATTATTATAGATACTTCAATAAAAAAAAAATTATACATATTTCATTACATTTAAAAGTTTTATTTAAAATCTTCTAAATTGTTTTTTGAACCTCTCATAATGGTAATCATCTGTAGCTTTTTCACCATTATCTTTCCGTTTTCCCTTAAAATCTTCTTTAGGGGTCACAACTTTTTTTCTATCCTCATCATTATCTTGTCTTGACTTTTGGAAATCTGATTCTTCAATATTAACTAAAAAATAATAAGGAAGAAAATACATGTATTATTTTTCAAATCAACTTTTCTATTTATATATGTTACTTGCATATATAGAAGCTTACATCTATTATGTTGTACAAAATTTACAGCCATATTAGTTGGTACAAATTGTGATGGACCATCTTTTTTTCTATGCCTATCCCAAAGCAATTTCAATTTTGCTTCTTCTGTAGCTTCAATGTTACGAATTTTTGCTCTAAAATATGAAATAAATTAAATCAAGATTAGTTAGCGATAGAATTATGATTTACTAAAATAATGACTTACTCTATCCCAAGATCTACTTCTGGAATTCCAGAAAGCATTTGATTTGAAAGCATTTCTTCACTACGATGAGCTGAACTTTGTCTGAGATGTTCTGGTACAGCTTGTAATGCAGCTTCTTCTGGTGAGCAATATGATCCTTTATCATTACTTGTATTGGAATCTGCCTCATCTTTATTTTTACTTTTACGTTTCGATAATTGCTCTTCTATATATTTAACCCTAACAAATACATTCACATATTAATATTTAGAAAATTACTATTCAACATTTATAGAAGATAAAATTTATATAAAATTTATACATTTCTTCATCCTCATCTCTTTTATTAGTTTCAGCATTAAATTGTGTACCAATACCAGTTTCATATGCATCATTTTGTTTGAGCTTTGTATTTTTCAAAGCAGACATATTCACCATTCCTCCAGTTTTGACATTAAAGGGATCTGACTATTAAATAATAAAAATCTTATAGGATGATATTTACTATAGTTCAAATAAAATTAATATATAATTTTAAAACTTACTGTCATTATATCAGGTACTACTTTTTCTCCTAATGCTAATCCAACAATATTTACACCACTTGGTCGTTCCCGTAACTTTTGAATAATTTTAGTTTCTTCTACTTTTTTCCTAAAATAAGTACATACTATTACTCTCATATATTTCTAAGAATATGACTAACTCGATATATAACATTAATGTTTATAACAAACCTGACAGAACTTTCTTGATTTTCATTAGATTCATCATCGTCATCTGTTGATGTTTGGCGTTTTCTTATGCATTTACGTATTTTCTTCTTAAATTCTATTTTTGGTGTAATTTCATCTGTTTCAGACATGTTTCCTAGTTTTATATAATACTGATACTTTTATGATATTTATATTAAACGTTATACTAAAACAATGCATAATAAATATTTCTACTGTGTGCGTTATATACTGAATTCATAATTATGATGAATTCAGGTAAATCGTAGTAATATAGGTTAGATCAAGCTATATAGTAATTTAACCTAAAATTCTAAATTACTATAAATAATGTTATATTGATATTAAGATATTGTGCGTATAAAAGTGATACGTAGTAATTGACTGAACTTGGACGCGTGGATTTTTTTGCAATAGATAAATTAATATAACTAAGCAGTTTTAATTTCAGAGCTTTGATTTACTTCTAGTAAAGTGTCGATAAAATAGAACACCACATGAAAATGATAAAAGTTGAATACATCAATTTTTATACAAGTCGAATTAAATTAAATAAAATTTGTAAGTTTTTTTTTAGTTTTATATGTTACAATTCTCTGATTACACTTATTAAATTTTGTAATTTTAACATTTCATAATTTTTTTTTCTATCGGTAAAACAGAAATTGGAATTTATTTACAAGATTAACAGAAAAAGTAATATTGATTAATTATTGCAAAGAATATTTCAGGAAATCAAAAAGTATCATAAACATAATTTATCATAATAGTATTGGGAAGAGAAATCATTTTCAAATAGCCATAGATTTATAATTCAAAACAATTCTTTATCTTCTTCGATACACCAAAGAAGTTTGGATATTAATGATTCATCAGTAAGATTACAAACAAAATATAATTAGCCTGGAATTAAAGTGTACAAAAATCGATAATAGGATAAAATATTACAATTACAATAATTTTTTGCATTATGATACACCTAAACAACTAAAGCAACTGGCACGTTATTGAATGTGAGAAAAAAAAAGAAACTGAAAGAATGAAATAGGATCTAGAGTGCCGTATTGCAATTTAATTTATTATAAATTCACATTTATTAACCTCAGCTCATCTATCTCAGCGTCATCAATAATACGAACTTGATGTTCTATTTACAGTCTACCATCTGCGCGTCTCTTTTCAAATAATAACGATATTAATAGTAATAATGTTTCAAATTTTTTCGAAATATTTGTTTCCCTTTTTTTTTTGCTTTCGCCTCGTTGATATTTTTATAAGTGTGCTGAAAAATCGGTATAAATATAACCTACGAAGGAGTAGTAATATCGTAATAGTCATTGTAACTTAGATAAAATTTGGAAGAACTGTATCGCTTCTCTCTTTTTTTTATCTTATCCTTATTCTACTATTGCCAACGTTTTTTTGAGTTGGTATATCTTTATATACAATTTTAAAAGTTCAATTGAAAACAAGAAATGCCAATAAATTGTACAAAGGATAAATATAAACTCATTAAAAATGTTCTCTATGATTTTTCAAAGCACCACTATCTGTTAACGATAGTTATCTGCGCGACTAAACAAATTAGATTTTATTAAATCTACTTTATTATTTCATTCTTTGTTCACTACTATTGATTTTACTTTATATTATCGTCACAAACCTATTGCCTGCTGACATTTTATCATATTAATATTAATTACTTATAACTAGATCATTATCATTGATATCAACGATAAGTTCTCAATAACCTTGCTCTTTCGTATAATGATGGTAGCTGCAACAGTCGACATATAATGATATTCTAATCTTATTATGATTTCTATAAATTCACTATCACCGTATTACATTAGTAGCAACAAATTTAATATCAATAATGATTTTAATGTATCAATACTCTCGATTGTTTCAACGACCAACAAAAGATCCGAAAGTAGCATAAAATTTACACAGCGTTTTACAGATCTTCCATAATTTTTCTAAGATGATAATAATTACTTCGTAATATTTTTGCTAATCAATAACCGCCAACCCGTATTGGGTATGAGATCCGGAGACGCAATATGACGGTTTATATATCATCTTCTTTTGATTGGTATCAATCTAAATCTAGTATTTGGACGAAGTGCGAGGATGGGTCGTGCGTGCTTTTTGCTTTCTAAATTGAGCGTGCAAATCGCTTAAAACTTTTTTATCTTTCTTTTAGCCACAGACAGCTTACTTTCTTGTTTCCTTGGCCAGTTACAGTGTATGATTTATCATTGCTTGTTTAATCAATACGTGTATAAGTTCATAAAAAAAAAAATATCGCAGTGGAAAAGGGAAAGAGAAATTTATGAGCAGCCCTGAGAGAGAGAGAGAGAGAGAGAGAGAGAGAGAGAGAGAGAGAGAGAGAGAGAGAGAGAGAGAGAAAGAGAGAGAGAGAAAGAGAGAAAAAAGACAGGAGAGGGAGAAGGAGAAAAAGAGAGAAAAAGAGAAAGAGAGAGAGCGAACGACGCGCCTGTGGATAGTGTATGGGTGGATAGTCATGGCATATGTGCCAATAGTTTAACGCATGAATCGAATGTCTTCACTAAGTATGAACTGGGCATTATTTGTCATTTGCCTTTCATTTACATTTAACCTCAAGTCTTAAGAGCAGTGTGACGCGAATCTGTGCACCCATGCCTCGAATTTGTATACAAGTGGCAACCTTCAACGCTGAATATTGACACTTCTGCAAAAAAAAAAAAAAGGAGAAAAAAAGGAAAAAAGAAAACAAAAATAGTACGATAATATAGTAACATTGAAATTCCATGAAAGATTATGAGATCTTACCATCAGGCAATTCATATAATTTTCTAGGAAGAGAGGCAAAATAAGGATGTCTTAAAGCTTCTTCGGCACCTATGCGCTGATCAGGATTCAATTGTAGGAGAGACGATGCCATGTTATCACCGTCAGCAATATCATAAAGCCTTGGAAATGAAAGACCCAATTTTCTTGGTGGATAAAACGACAATTTGTGTGGCTTATATCCTGGGAGATGAGTTACACCTGGCCAAGTTTCTTCGGTAGGTGTTCCCAAAACTTTAAATATTTTATCAAGTTGGTCGTACGTACATCGTACACCAGGGAATGTTGGTTCTCCAGTCAGCATTTCTACAAATATGCAACCTACTCCCCACATATCAAGTGAGGTTGAATATTCCGTAGAACCCAATAGAACATCGGGTGGCCTATACCATAATGTTACTACTTCATGCGAATATGTATGCGATGGTACAGATTTCGCCCTTGCAAGACCGAAATCTGCCAATTTAAGTTCTCCTATTTCACTGATTAATAAATTTTGAGGTTTCACGTCTCTATGCAACACTCTCCTAAAAAAAAAAATATTTATATAAATAGGTTAAAAAATATATATATTAAGCTTATTAAATTATGAACTACAACAATATATAAATTGTTTTTACCTACGATGACAGTACGCTAGTCCTCTTAACAATTGAAAGAGAAATAATTTAACATTGTGAGGATCTAAACCTCCACTTCCACTACCATATCTTTCCATGTATTGTGATAGATCAGTATGAACATATTCAAAAACAAAAGTAAGAGTCTCGCGAGTGTGAATTATATCGTGTAAAGTCACAATATTACTATGTTTTAACTCCTTAAGAAGGCTTGCCTCACGAATGGCAGTAAACGGAGCACCTTCTTCTTCTTGCAGTCTAATTTCTTTAAGAGCCACCACCTGATTCGTGAGGTGACTATAGCCTTTGAACACAGTGGCATAAGAACCTTCTCCTAACTGTTCTAATTTTATATAAGCTTCGGATTTTCCAAAAGGAGAGTCTCCCTGTCGAGAATTAATGAAAATCATATTACATATTTGCACAATTGTATCGTGTATATTGATATAAAAAAATATTTATAAAAATATTTACTTACCCCAAAAGCTGAAAACCTTTTGGTTCTCCGAGGTGGTGGATCTGGCCCAAGAAAAACCTCAGACTTGGGCCGCGGTGGACGCCGAGGCCGTAAAATCACTCTTGCCTCTTCTCTTATATCTTCATCTAGAAGCTTGGAATCGCTAGAAACGGAAAGCTGCCGATGCACTCTTTCATGATCACCAACACCTGTCCATTCTATAACATTTAATTTTATCCTTAAAAATTTTTTAAACAATTTGTATGATTTAATTTTCATTATAAAGATAGAATTACATTTTTTAAAATGATATTTATGATATATAAGAGTAACTATAAAATGAATCATACGGATAGCATAAATAGTATCAAAAATATTAAATGATATATATTTAAACCTCACCGTATCGACGATCTTTATCCGCAGGTATATTGCCGTTTGGTTCCAAACGGTCTAGGAACTCCTCCGAATATCCATTGTAAGGCAGCTGACCTCTATTTGCAGCATCGTCAGCTTCTTCTTTAGAGATAGCTAAAAAAATACATAGATATAGAAAGTATTAATCAATTTATGTAATATCTTTTTGTAATGAACAATTAAAAATTGCAAATCATTTGCTCTAATTCCTTTGATTAAGATTAAGAATGTGGCACTACATATTGCATGACAAATACAAATACGGATTCATTAATCCTTATAAGTCTATATAAACAGCAATAAACTTTGATAACAAAGCGTTACATAATTTAATGATGTTTATAAACTGTACCAGCATCAGTTTTTCAGATTATTCTAATGCAATCAATTGCAAAGCAATTCTAACAATGACAAAAATATCTAAAATATTTTCTAATTAGTTTTGAAAAAGAAATTATTCCATGTATAAAAAAAGTTATTAAAGAAGAATTCTTCTATTTTTAATAACTAATAACAGGCATACTTACAAAGTCTACCAAAACTGTGACTAAGTCGTTTTTTTAGTTTCTGCACTCTGCTAAGAGCACCTCCTTTTTTTTCTCGCATTGTCACTGACCCTGCATGTAATAAACACAACAAATATAATTCTATATATGTATAAGCTTGTCACACCTAAAAATTTAATATTTATATAAATCATATGTTAAATTTCATGTATCATCTATCGTGTAAAATTATATTTGCAAAAAGGAAAATATTAAAGGTAAAAACATATAATTTGCCTAAGCTTCAATATAAATTGTGCAATTATACATGCAAATGCTAAAGCATTGTTTTTACATGTATATGACACATAAGCATGTACGTACTTAATGACAATTGGCTTTCAATAGAAACAGTTGTTTATTGATACAAGAGAAATAATTGTCATAAAAGAAAGTTATTTTAATGCTATGAAAGATGCAAGAAAAAACCAGTCAAGTTCTGTTTATTATTATAATTCATGATTCTTAATGAATCATAATAAAATTTATGCGTATAAAGGAAATAATGTAAGGACAAGTACAAGGAGAACAAAATATTTTTCTCTCTTAAGTGATTATACAATTCAATAAGGTTGTATCAATCATGTTAAATAGTCCGTACCTATGCCAGTAATCTTGCTCTTCTTTAAACTTTTGAAACCACGCATATCTGAGCAAATAGCAATAAATAATTCTTTTCAAAAATAAGCACAATTACGTTGGCACAAATCCAAAACTACTTTTTTTAAAAAAATATTTACTATTCAACTACTTGTTTCATCTAAATGAAGCATCAGAATATCTAGTCAATCAAATAAATTTACAAAGATGATTTGATTAGTAATTTCATTGTCAAACGTGACGATGAGTCAAATATAAACTTTATTCCCGTTTTCACACAACACGTTTAAATATTTTCTTGGTACGTTAATAGAAAAAAGGCCTCGCGTAAAAAGCTATCACTGAGTAGGACGATCTCACGAACGATAGACTCGTGTGCACAAGGAAAGATAGATAACGCGGTTTGCCAAGAACGCATACGATTGGTTTCTTTCCTCAAAATACATAATCCTGGATACCCCTACCGCCTTCCCTCATAAACGACACGTTCTCGCTTTCTTTGTCCCGCTCCTCCTCGTTCTCTTCGTACCATCCTCTTTCTCGGTCACTTGCGGCTCTTCGACCAAATCATCCACCCCCCACGATCGCGGATTCTCTCTGCGCTGTCCGACCCACCTTATCGTGCTTCGTTTCTTCCACATGCGCGCACGGAGAGACCGAAATCCGATAAGACACGATGCGGAGAAGGAAAGGATGGGAAAAAAAAAAAGAAAAAAAAAAACGAAGAAATAAAGAAAGCAAAACGAAAGGATAAGATTAAAGAAGATTACAAAATAGAGGAATAGAATGATAAATAGGTGAAACGAGACGACGAGAAGAAAAAAGAAAAAAAAAAAAAAAATAAGAATTGGAAAGCCGAACAGAGTAACCGTGTCGTCGAACGAAGAGAACGAAAGAAACTGACTCGGCGGGCGTCGACTTACCCTCTTTGCTCTTCGAGGCGGTCGAGCCCTTGTCTTGACAGTACATGATTACTCATTCGTTCGCACGCACGAAACACACATCGCATATGGGCGGTGACGCACTGTGTGTGTGTGTCGGTATATGTGCCTCGGCGCGTACCGCGTCGTCGTCGTCGTCGTCGCCGTCTTCGTCGTCGTCTTCGTCTTCGTTTTTGTTTTCGTTTTCGTCTTCGTTTTCGTCTCCGTCGTTGTCGTTGTCGTCGTCGTCGTCGTCGCCGCCGTCGTCGTCGTGTTTCTTCCTTTGAACACGAGTGTCAGGTCACAGGTCACGGATCGTAAGGAAGGCGTAATACCTTTCTTCACCTTTGTCGTGGTTCATACCACGGTGGTGAAGCACGATGTATCCTCGTACTAACGCCGATCGCCATGAAAAAGGTTCGCTCCTAATCGCCGCTCGTTGAGATTATCAATAACAGCAGTAGCAATAAATCGTAATAGTAATAGAAACAGCAGCAACAGCAAGAGCAGCAGTAGTAGCAATAGTAGCAACGGTAGCGGCAGCGGTGGCGGTGGCGGCGGCGGCGACGGCGGCAGCGGCAACAACGAGACGCGTGTCTTCTTGTCTTCCTTTATCGTAGATTCAACTTTCTCTCAGGGTTCTCAGAAAAAGTTATCAAGTTGGAACCTGACCGGGATCGCCGAACTTCGAGGCGATCCTTTCCGTCTCGCTCTCTCTCTGCGTCTGTCTTTCTTTTTCTCCTTTTTCTCTTTCTCTCTTTCTCTCTCTCTCTCTCTCTTACTCTTTTTCTGTCTCTGTCGCACGCGCGTCTTCCTGAATACGGCGGGCGCTCACGCACGCCACCACCGACTATCTCAGACGATTCATTCGCGATCGCACGATTCGTTCCTAAAGACGATAAAACCGTCTTGTAGACGATGTTTCTACGCACGCACTCGATTCCAAACGTACGAGTTTATCGAAATACGGCTTATGCACGTTGCACTCAGAGCAGTCGCTCTTATGCACTCTGTCGCTGCTAAGCCGCCATCTTGAATACGATGCACTGCCGATAACTCGGCTACTGCGACGACGCGCGATTTCGTGAAATCCTTTTAGCGCGAATGTAAGTTTTTGTTATATTTATTACACGTCTTTTCAGGGTTTCGAGCATGATTGAACAAGTTACGATACGATCCATGACTTTTTTAATTGACATTCCTCGTACTAAACTAATTAACTATAATTATATTTAGAATTCGATCGATCCTATAAGGTTAGGATTATGTGTTATGTCGTAATTCCATTCAATCTTGATTTTAACATTGCAATTTCTAATATTTTGCGATTATTTTTATAATATGTTATCTATAACATAAACGGTTTATTCTTTACATTTTTTATAATATCAATAGATATGGAATAAATTCATTTAATGTATCATTCGCTTAGTAAGAAATATAAGATTACATAAGCAATAATACGATTTGTAAGATAAATGTTTTTATCATAAATTAATTTTTTTATAGATTGATTATAACAAAATGTTTTAAAAAAATTCTTAATATGGAGAGTACGATGGTATTGCCATCTTACAGTAAAATGTTAACAGATGCTATAGGTCGGTATATTATTCTGACCTATAATCATTTCTATTTTAATTGTAAGATGGAGCCATAGATACATGTTTGATAAAAAAGAAATTGCAATTTTCTCGTTAGACGATTTATTAATTTAAAAATAAAATCATACAGTTCTTTTTATCGTTTTTTAAAATTATAAATACTTTAATTCGCAAATAAAAGTTTACAAATATATAAAGAAATTATCTAATTTCAGTGATTTTGTCTATCGAGAAGAATACGATTAGAGATTATTAGATTTATTTAGATTTTCATTGAAAAACTAATGTGTAAGGAATATAATCATAGTTGTACATTATTTTGTAATATTCTGAGATTTTAAATAATTTGACAAGACTAAAGTTCATTGACATTTTAATTTTAATTTGTGAAAGTACAGAATGTGCGACAAGTTGAATACATAGATAATATTTACACGAAAAAAGGATGTTATGTAAATAAGTAAATCGCAGACGGCTGTTATATACATATTCTTTCTGATAATTGTGCTCTTTATTAGGAAACACGCAAAGGAAACAGATGCTTTGGTATTTAACATCTGTCGTTGGAACTTAACAAATGCCCGCGGCGATTTCGCGTCTGTGAATTTCGCTCCCTCTCTCCTATTGGTCCAGAATTCATTAGCTTTTTCGCAATGCCCAACAGAGCCATCTATCGGTGGTTCTGGAATGAGATAAGATTGACGACCCTGAGATCTGGAGCACCCGTTTCGTTTCCGAATATATACGAGACTGCAAACAAGGCGTTTTCAGGTTACTGCGCATGCGGGAAAAATCCCGTGAGTCGGCAGAAAGAGAAAGGTAGTAGTGGTTCGTTGCAGCTGGAATTACTGAACAAATTGTGGAATTGGAACAGTGCTAAACAGTGTAAAAATTATTCCACAACAATTGAAACCAGGGATCAAGAGATGACGGGCATCAAAGAAAAGCCATTTCGCCGACTTCCTAATGATGTTCGACCGTGTCACTATGATATCACGTTGGTGCCGGACATAACAAATTTCATCTTCCACGGAACGGAAAATGTGCATATTAATGTAAGTTCGTTTAATGCAGATCGATTATCGTAGATACTACTTTCTATGTAGACGGATCGTTAAATGTTTTTAAGCGAAAGTGAATAGAGAAGGTCTGGTAACCATATGGCGTGCATATAACCGCAATCTGTATATATACAAAGCTTTAGATTAGCTTAGGTAAAACTACGTTAAGTTAGATTGAATAACTGGCGGCGTTTCGCTTATCTCTTTTTATACAGAGTCGACTATTTGATAATGTAGAGATAAGAAAATTTAATAAATCGTATACAATAATGTCATTTAAAATTTTAGTTAAGATTGCTTTGTTATTTACTGTGATTCTTATTGATGATTTACGAGTTAATGGTTTAGCATTCATAAATTTTTATTCGTAGAATTAATAAAATTTTGTTTGATTAATTAGGATATTTATACTCAATTAATTTTCTATTTTATTTATATAGGTACTCAAATCTACTGATACGATTGTCTTAAATTCATTGGAAATCAATATTAAAAGTGCATATTTTGTTAATAACAATGGTTATACAATTCCTGCAAAGAGTATTGACATATCTTCATCCGAAGAAACTGCTACTTTGGTATTTGACGATAAACTTCCAGTTGGAAAAGTTGTGATTTTAAGTTTGGAATTTGTAGGAGAAATCAATGACAAGATGAAAGGTTTTTATCGCAGTAAATATATAAGGTAATATTATATTTATAGATGGATTAAATCAATAATATAAATATATCCAAAATTTCTATTTTTATATCTTTATTTTAACTTATTTTAACTTTTTTTTATATTGAAAATTATGATTGTTTTTTTTAGGACTAATGGTACGGTTGGTTATACAGCAGTCACACAGTTTGAACCTACAGATGCTAGACGTTGTTTTCCATGTTGGGATGAACCAGCTCATAAAGCCACGTTTGACATTACTTTAAAAGTACCAACTGGTGTTACAGCACTTTCAAATATGGTAAGAAGTGATATTTCATAATAAAATGTCCTTTTTTTTTTTTCAAATTGTCTTCAACTTATTTTGTATTTTTATTTTACAGCCTATCAAGGAAAGAACTGTTAGCGAATCAATCGAGATATTAACTTTTGAGAGAACTCCTCTTATGTCGACCTATCTGGTAGCTGTGGTAATAGGAGAGTTTGATTATGTAGAGGACAGATCAAGTGATGGTGTACTTGTACGAGTTTATACTCCAAAATCCAAAAAAGAGCAAGGACAATTTGCATTAGAAGTGGCAACAAAGGTGTTGCCTTATTATAAAACATACTTCGGTATAGCGTATCCGCTTCCGAAAATCGACCTTATTGCGATTTCGGACTTTTCATCAGGTGCCATGGAAAATTGGGGTTTAGTAACGTATCGAGAAACTTGTCTCTTGGTAGATCCACAAAATACATCTTCTGTTAGGAAACAATGGATCGCTTTAGTTGTAGCACATGAATTAGCTCATCAATGGTTTGGGAATCTCGTCACTATGGAATGGTGGACGCATCTGTGGTTAAACGAAGGATACGCTTCATTCGTAGAATTCCTTTGCGTTGCACATCTTTTCCCTGAATACGATATTTGGACGCAATTTGTAACAGATACGCATATCAGAGCATTGGAATTAGATGCATTGAAGAATAGTCATCCTATAGAAGTCCTAGTTGAGCATCCAGCTGAAATAGATGAAATTTTCGATGATATATCGTATTATAAGGGAGCATGTGTTATCAGAATGCTGCATTCTTATATAGGCGATGACGATTTCAGGAAGGGTATGAATTTGTACTTAAAAAGGCATAGCTACTTTTATGCAGAGACAGAAGATCTTTGGGCTGCCTTGGAAGAGGCTAGCAAAAAAACTGTTCGAAGTGTTATGTCTACGTGGACCAAACAACAAGGCTTTCCCATTGTAAAAGTTGAATATCGACAAGAAGGTAACGACAGAATTTTGTCTCTCTCTCAAGAAAGATTTTTAGCAGATGGATCTGTAGATACGGACAACCAAACGTGGATTGTACCAATAAGTGTAAGCACTTCCAAACAACCCAAAGAAACTGTTCTTAGTGCATTAATGGATGAGAAGACTAAAGAGTTTGTACTTAAGGACATACCTGAAGGTACTTGGTTAAAGATTAATCCTGGAGCGATCGGTTTTTACAGAACGCGCTATAGTCCAGAAGCGATGTCTCTATTTTTGCCTGCCATTAAAGATCACACGTTACCTCCATTAGACAGATTAGGTCTTTTGGATGATCTTTTTGCTATGGTTCAAGCTGGACATGCTTCGACCGTAGAAGTACTTAGATTCATGCAAGCATTTAAACACGAGGACAATTATACAGTATGGTCTAGTATAGTAAATTGCATAGGAAAGATTAGTGTACTTTTAGCTCCTCTAGACTCTGCGGATGCATTCAAGGCATTCGTTCGAAATCTAATGCGCGATATTAGCAAAAGATTGGGATGGGATCCAAAGCCTAACGAAAGTCACTTAGATACGCTTCTCAGATCTCTCATATTAGATCGTATGGCAGCTGCAAACGACGAGGAAACTATACGACAAGCAACGAGGAGATTCGCACTTCACATGTCTGGCGTTATGCCCCTTCCCGCAGACTTAAGAAGCCCGGTTTATCGTGCTGTTCTCTCCGTAGGTGATGCTTTTACCTATGACACTATGCTTAATCTTTACGAAGAATCGGATCTTCATGAAGAAAAAGAAAGAATATTGAAAGCGCTTGGTGCGATCCGATACGAAAATTTAATAGAAAGAACTATTGAATTCTCCATGAGCGAGAAAGTAAGAGCACAGGATACTGTTTTTGGCTTCATGTCTGTTACAATGACACAATATAAAGGCCGTGTTATTGCCTGGAAATTCTTCAAGGAACATTGGAAAACTCTTCTCGATCGTTATGAGGGAGGTTTCTTACTCTCCAGGCTAGTCAAGTTAACGACCGAAAATTTTGTCTCCGAAGAATACGCCAAAGATGTGGAAAACTTCTTTGAAAATCACCCGATGCCTGGAACAGAAAGAACGGTCCAACAAAGCATCGAATCTATCAGATTACATGCAGCGTGGCTTGCTAGAGATAAAGACTCTATAAAAGAATTTTTAAGTACCGTAGTTTAGAATATCCTTGTTTTGAGTTTATGAATGTGTCGTCGATATTCTTGGCTTAGCAGAGAATCGATAAAATCGTACCTTTCTTAAGAGTTAAGAAATTATTTAAATCACGTATAAAACGTTTTTAATAACGTTTGACATTAACAGGCATAAGATCGCGATGATCTATTGTTTGTTCGTACCATAGTTCGTCATTCGAAGGAAATAATCGTTTTACTTAAGAATCATCATCGTTCATTTAGTTTAGGGGAAGTTTTATTGTCAGTAGCATTTACACAACAATCGTCGTTCGTTCGTTTATCTTGCATTTCACTTAGAACATACGTACTTACCAAGAATCATGGAATACGCGCATCGGTAATTTTGTGCCGCTTTTATGTTATATGCGTATTCACGAGTATGAAAATTTCATATCAAAGAGAAATGTAACGTTACCGTTCCCCAAAACACAATTGCATTTTCGAGATAATTGATTCGATGAGTGAAATTGAAATAATCGAAATAAAAACTTTTACGCTTATAAGTAAAACAAAAAAAAGAAAACAAAAAAATATGTGAAGGATGAACGAAACCTTATATTATTCAACATCCTTGCCAACATCAATCCAATGCATTGACAACGATAAAAATTATTTAACAACATTTATATATTTAAATTATCCTGCGATCGTTTTCCAAAGTAACTCGATTCCCACAAATAGAAGCGTAATCCCGGATTGGTGGATGTTCCGTTCGGATTACAAGACTTGCCGAGCAGAAAGTAATTCTGCTTCCTTATCACGGGCCATTAAGGGTGAGGGTCATAGGGGCCACCTCGCACCCCACGTTTCCTTCTTATCCACGATCGATCGATCCTCCGTTATATCGGAGGGTGTCTCGCGAGGTGTAAGAGGGTGACTGTTAGCTCTCCCTCTCTTTCTCTCTGTCTCCCTATCTCTCTTTCTCTTATTCCATCCTCGTGAGTCAGCCTCCATTTTCATTATTAGTGCACATCCACCAGCAGGCGATGGGCTAGTAGTCTCCCGTCGTCACCCTCGCCATCATACGGCTACTACTCTCGCTCATGAATGCCAAGTGGGCTCGAATGGTTGCAAGGGGTGTCGAGGAGGAGTCAAGAGAGCGGACAGGGGTAGTAGCTTGGTTGCTTGCTTGAGATCGGTTCCCGTGGGTATCGTACGAAGCCACGGTTCCCAGGAAAGCGCACGCGACCCGGACGGGATAGGGAGTCGATCAATACGGACTTCGCGAACTCCTACACCCTGTCGGAACACAATACGACATTACCGCTCCCCTTTCGTGCAACATCCTTCGAGGACTAGGACGAGGACGTCGACGACGACCACCCGTCCTCCTTACCTTCCTCGCACGTGTGCATGGATTATTACGCACACGTGCGCCTATTTAATTCCACCCTACCCCTCCTACGGCCATCCAATCCCTACGGATTTACTGCTTTTAGCGATGCAGGAAATGAGGAAACGCCGCTCCCAGGAATCCATCAGCTTTGGGGTCGTCGTATGATAATGGTACGGAAGTAATGTCCTTTCTTCGAGAAGAGATATGTCTATATTTTATTTTGCTCTTTTAACGTAAAAATCGATTCTCTTTGCGCTTTCTTTATCGGTTTTTTTTCTCATTTAAATCGTTGACCAATTTAATTATTCTGATTTGGTCGTATCAGAAAGTTAGTTTGTTAATTAGCGATGAAGAAATTCATGCATTTTTTTGTTTAATTTACAGGTCTTAATAATTATCCTGCAAAATTGAATCGATAAAAGCAAAAACAAAGCAGAAACAGCTGTTCCGGTCTTCACTAATTATCTACTAGGTAATATACTAGAGATGAGAGGATGTTACGAGGAAATAAGCAACACAGGTATAACTTACGGACACAGTTTGCATTTATTTTGTATACACGAGCGTATTACCCTCGTGCGACGATATACTTACAGCCTTTCAGTCTTCGCGAATATACAATAGTTACGGAAGGTTTCTAAATTATAATATGAAGAGCGATAACAATAATAATGATATAATCATATAATAATAATAATATTAATAATAATAATAATAATAATAATAATAATATAGCATTTTAAGTATTTTTAGTACGATAAATGTAATAATCGTAATAAAAATTTTCTTTATTATCTACAGAGCGAGTTAGAAATGATACAGACTTTGATCAACGCGAAGATAAAATTTGTTACAATGGGTCTGCAAACAAAGATCGATTTACGATTGGTTGGGTGGGGCATCGTACGTGATATTTTGTCAGAACGATAATATTTTGAATGTAATAAAATGAAATTATATATATTTTCAGAATTTGATATCGTCTTGCCTTTCGACTGATCGCAATTGAAAAAAAGAAATTTAAATGAAAGAAGCCAACAATGAATGGTTAAATTTTTCACTATGTAAAGCAAAAAAAGGAAAAATCAAAGGAAAAAACAATATTCTCATTTCTAGATTGAGTCGGAACATGTCTACTGATCGAAGAGAAAAAGGGGGATGAAGAGATAGAAAGACAGAGAAACAGAGACGAAGATCGGAGGCGATGAGGTGGTGGTGTCTATCGGCGATGAGAGGTCGTGCGAGGAATGCGATGAGTCTATGTACAAGTATTTACAGGCTTTCGCGAGGAAAGAGATTGTACTGGGCGCAAGGGTCTACTCGTCGTCCTGTTCCTAGTTCCTCGCACCGTTCGCGTATCCTTCCGTTTTTCTCGGGTCCCAAAGACGAAGAAGAGACGAAGGAATTCTTCGAGGAGGAGGACGGAAGTCAGGGGCCGACGGAACCCTGCGTTCAAGCCGGAGTCAGCCCACGAGGACGATCTCTCCTAGCGATCTGGCCCTCATTGAAATTTTTTTCCTGTGACAGGTCACCGTTCGGCCACCGTGCTGTTTGCCGTCATCGTCGTCGTGGCTGCTGCCGCTGCTGCCATAGCTGCCGCCGGTGTCGTCGAGCCTGTGCTACCGGTGCTCACCGTATTTAGCAGAGGTTGAAGTGGCTGTCTCGTTGACGTCGGTTTCGTCTTTGTTGTTTCCTGATGGACATTCGTCTCCTCCAGAGTTGTCTGTAGATCGCATATGTATTCGATCACCCTCTGTATTACTTCGAGCTTCGAAAGTTTCCTCTTCCTCGGCATATCCGGCACCAATGATCTTAACTTCGTTAGATAAGCGGCGACTTCCTCCGCCTCGAGATCTCTTCTCGTTCCGTTTATACTCAAACTGTTGTGTAGAACACCACGAGTTGGTGGTACTCGACCACCTACAGGGCTCACCACCATAGCTTTCATATTTTCTTTGATATTTCTCTTATTCGTTTATCACTGTGATTTGACGATTGGCTTTTATCGTCGACGAATGTTTTTTTTTTTTTCACGAGATTCCTTTGCAATTTGTTTCTCTCGATATTGGTTAATAATCGTCGTGTCGGCGCACTCACACGTACCCGGCGAATTATCGATCGAACGAAGTCTCGGAGAGAGAGAGAGAGAGAGAGAGAGAGAGAGAGAGAGAGAGAGAGAGAGAGAGAGAGAGAGAGAGAGAGAGAGAGAGAGAACGAAAGGTAGAAAGAGGAAGAATCCAAAAAGAGCTACTCTTTTTCCTCCTAAAGATATTTTTTTCTCTTGTTGATTTATTTCCTCTTCTATTTCCTTCTTGTATTATTACTTTTTCGTTATAGCAAATCCTTTGAGGAACTCGCGGTGTATCACACACAACAGACTTGCGCGCAAACTTGTATATCACGAGTTAGCTTCACACGCGATAATCATCCTTTTAATACGGTAATAATAGTGACTAGTCGAAGATTATAAAAAAAAGTAAGAGAAATGGAGGTTTTTGGAAGTGCAGTGTATCTATGTGTATAAAGTAGGAGAGCACAGTGAACATACTACGATACACTGCGCTCGGAGGATCGAAGTCAACTGGTCTCCGCCCCTCACCTGCGCTGTTTTATAGTCTACCCCTACCCTACCACTTCTCTATCCACGACGCCTCCAACGCTCACACAGCGCAATCGCTGCTCGAGTGGTCTAGCGTTGGGTTCGACTGGTGCATGTCAACGATCGTTTCTTTTTTCATTGACCTATTTTTTACATTTGCCCTTAGCTCTTTTGTCGTTCTATTGTACGAATGAAAAATAACTATAACGTTATTGTTATATTACCAAATCTGAAACGTTAAAACACAAGGTTATTAAGGAACAGTTACTTACATTATCACAATTATATATGTGTATATATATATATATATATCTTTTTTATTTACATATTATTTCTTATTGAAAAATTAAAGAGAATTTTAATAAATCCTCAAAGTTATTGAAACAAGTAAATATGTTATAATTGGTAATTGTTTGCATCAATTGCGATTCGAAACCATCACTAGTCGGGGGTGTTCGATGACCATGGGAGCAGTGGCGTCGGCGGGACAAGACGGGAGATCGAGGAGGGGCACGACCATTGTTGAACGTCCGGCGGCGCCAGCCACTAGCCATCACGACTACTACCACCAGTACGACACCGTTACCACCACCATCATCGTCATCATAGATGAGAACGGACAACCACCATCGTCGAGGTGTGCTTAGCGTACAGACTGCGCACACTGTCCTCCCCCTCCTCCTCCTCGTCGTTCCATCTCCTTCACCTCCCTGATCTCTGCCACCACCAACCTGTACAGCATGATTCCGGCTATGGTTTTACGTATGCCTGACTCCTACCTTCTTGCTTAGCTTGCGTGATTATGCTCGCGACTCCGTGACTTCGGCTACGGAGTCTCGTTACCGCTTGCCAAGACAAGAACTCGACGCGATGCGCGGCGCTACGAGTTGAAGAGGAAGAATCATGGTGCGTGCACGCACACACACACACACATACACATCATACACACGCGTAATAGTTTTTATATGTGTTTCTCTTTTGCGTGCATTCATGCGTGTCGCGTAAAAAGAGAAAGAGAAAGAGAGAGAGAGAGTCGAATATTGACAAAGCTTCTCGTGGGATTTACTGGTTAAGCTAGGATTTCTCAAAGGAAACAATGATGGTGGCGAGAAGGGTATCAATCGTGGGAAGATATAGACGTTGAATAGTGGTACTCTACGTCGTTGATGAGATCGAAAATACTCGTTTGTCGTACATTGAAAGGAATATGCATTAGGAAATTTGTTTACACTATCTACCATCTATTCGTAATATTCTATCGACCTAGTAGTCTATTTGGAAACAATATTTACTTTCGTATATCTCTTTCAAATTATGATACGTTATTCCTTTGTTCTGGGAAAAATATTATATTGATTGTTTTTGGCTTATCTTTGTTTCAAAACTGAGAAAAATAAGATATTAAGACAAATATATAAATTTGACTGTTTCTCATTATCTATAGATATTCTGATATGTGTTTTTGTTTGCGTATCGAAATTATATTGTAGTACAAGTTAAGATTTAAAAGCTCTTTCTATTCTCTTCTTCTATTTATATTTTCTTTTTTTATTTTTATATTATTGTTATTATAAAAGTTTTAATTGAAAAACATAGAATGTCTCTTTGAGCTATATTCTGTCGTTATGTTGAAATTAGAAAATGGGAAAGCTCTTCGTGAACAGCGAAACTTTGTGGAAAGTTATGAGGCTCACATCGGAGACGAAACTGACGCGAGAATTCCATGGAAAATTACAGAGAATAAAATTGAACGAGACGGCAGCGAGACTCGTGCACTTGCACGAGCATGCATACCTGAGCAACCGGATCTCATTGACTCCTTGACCTTCGAGTTTAAGAAGCGAAGTTCCCTTGACCTCAGAATAAATAAACTGACGAAACTACTCTCCTCACTGTTGGTTAACACTATGGAAAGCGAACCGTGTCATGACTTTTCGCTAAGTCTTTCAAAGGCACGTAGAATATTTCTAAGCGACAGTCTCTCTCTTCTTTTCCTTCTCTATAAGTTTTATCTTATATCACGAAACGCTCCAACTACAAGTACGGTCTCTTCATTAGCGTAGAAAATATTGATTTTGGACGTAACTTTAGCAGCATAATTAAACGGAATATTTGTTTTAAATCATTTGAGATTTTCTAACATAGTAATTATATGTGTTTATAGATGTTCAATGATTCAACATTTATTTGAATGAAAAAATACTACTTGACAGGATCGAGAATGACTGTTTAACAAAAAAGATACATACGACGAACATTACAAAGACAACAAAATGTTTATTTATATTTCAAAAAAGATTAACGAGCTAATATAAAGGCTAGCTAATCTTTTAAATATACGATGCGGGTTACTAATTAACGACTGTCAGATTTTATCGACTTAAATTTAACAATAAATTAAACGTAATTCGTGATAAAGATCATTTTTTATCTCTAAGGAAAGTATCAAAGTCTCGGGAATCACTATAATTGTTATTCTTATTTATTTATTTATCATATTCTATGGAAGATATATTGTAGATATAACAGTATGTTATCGTGTATAGATTAGGATTATGTAAAATCGTCCATTTGTTTCGTGTAGATTTTTTGACAGCATATGAAATATTTAAAGGATAGAAGGATTGAATAAAAAGGCGTAGCTGGTTTTTTCTTTTTTTTTTTTTCCTTTAATCTTACAAGTGAAACGTAGCCAATGACAATTTGAAAAGAGTTGCAGAGGAGACGTTCGGAGGGATCGTTTGTCGGTCGAAACTCGACGTAGGAAAGCGTGACTGTGCTGCGGACGCATTCGTCAACAGCTGACTTTGCCGCTATTATCTCATGTATTATGAATGATTCATGAGAAACCTCCACGTCGCCTACGTGGCCTGTTTTTATAAAATTCACAAGATTTTTCTTTTACGACGTTGTTGTTTTCACAAAAGATGTTTGAAGTCGATATCGAAGTTAGCCCAAGAATTTTACGTCCCGTAAGATAAACTCATATTTTCAACTAGAATCATATTTTTAAAACTATTTTAATAAATAGTTGTAAAAATACATGCAATTGTATATTATCAGTTATGAAATAATTATAACAATGCATTGATAGTGTTATATTTACTGATAATGTTTATCCTTACTGAAGTACAATAATTCAGAGATAGACGATATATATATATATATATATATATATATATATATATATATATATATATGATAGATTTACCTAGGAACGCATAATTTCATTTCATATTGATCAAATTTCTTCGAAGTTTCTATCTTCATTAAAATTCGAGAGACATCTTGTTACTCTAGTTTGTGCTTTATACAATTTATATGAATCATCGAAGGAAGTGACTCGGCCAAATCGGCCATCACATCCAGGTGTTACGGTCAGCTGTACTTGGTTGGGCACTTGAACGAATTCTTTCTATATCCACGAACAAGGGATAAGTTTATCGACATAAGCTTATCGTGAGAGATAAGGAAACCTTAATTCCGTGAGTGCATTCTTAGTACATACATAAGAACTGAAATTCCATGAAGTCTCCTATTTCACATAATCGCACTCAATCGTTCTTAAGTTTAACTTCCGATAAGAACTCTTTCATTTTTTTTCAGAATATTCTTGCATTCCGAGTTTATCAATCATATTTATCCGATTTATTAATCTTTACATCAACATTCGTTCGTATATTAACAATTAGAATTTGTAACAATATAAATTATTAATTTCTTAAAACGAATGTAATTTTGAAATTAATTAATCTTGCTTGTATTTTATATTGACATCCGAGCTCCTAGGATAAAATGACTTCTTTTTTTTTTCTTTTTTTTTTTATAGAGATTTGATTGTTCGTAGAATAAGACAGGACAAATAAGTATGTATGTACTTGATAAAAATACACGTGTTTTATTTATCGAGATATCTTTTCTCGATTAAAGTTCTGGCAGGTGTGCGCTTAATCGCGTATGAGTACGAGCGGCCAAGGATCACCAGATTGTATTTTTGATTTTTGTCCTTGTCTATTGTTATCGATATTTACAATCAAATGTTACAAATGTGAGTTCATTCTATCATTAATGTGATCAGGATCGATGTTCACGTGATAATTTTTGTGACGGATATTCACGAACTGTTTTCATAGCATTAAAAGAAGGTAGAAATGAGACGCGCCAGATACGTCATTTTTAGATGTAGATGCTGCGCCATATCGGAAAATAATAAAATGTTTCGCGTAGTAGAATTTTAAAATTAATCCAAAGATAAATAAGATAAGAATGCAGCAATAAAGCATACGATAACGTTATGTACATTATCATTTTGCGATTACCTGAATTGAAAGATGCTAAGTCACGTTGTTGATGTGTTGGATCAGAAAATGGACATTTCCCGTTTTACCGATCGTTAGAAGGTTTATACAAGTAGATATATCTAGTGGCGAATATCGTGCATTAACGAGACTTGCCTTAAAAAATACAAGATTAGAACGATCAATCAGGATGACGGATAGGTTCGATGTCGAGCGTCTATTTATGGTCGCTCCAAATACGAGGTCGACCTTTTGCATCGTATTTCTCATTTCGCGTCAGCATAACAGTCGCACGCAACTGAGATATCTACGAGCTTATTCTAGCCATCTTGACATTTTTCTATTATTATTCATTCTTACTATCTTGCTTTTTTCTTTTATTGAAATTTCGACTAAAATAGCTTGCTTTCATAATTACCAATCTATAACGAAGTGTGCGTTAAGTATTTCTTAAGGAAAAAGAAAGGAAAGGAAGAATAAAAGGATATAAAAAAGATGGAAAGGAAAAGGCGCGAAATCTCGAGTTGTCGAAGAACGTAGACTGCCTATAATTAGCGAGACGGCGACGACGCTGTTATGTTGCTCGCGCTCGTCTCACCTCCCTTTCGAGATCGGAGCGTCGTGCTCGGCTAGAGATCGCGAGTGGTGAAACTCAAGCAAGTCTCTCTTCTTCTTCTTCTTCTTCTTCTTCCGCAGCTGCCCGATGCGCACATTGCACCGTGCAACGAACGACCCCAAAGTGAGAGTCCGTGGTAATCGTGTGCTTCCTGCCGCATCGCGTTCGTCCTCATCGTCGTCGTCGTCGACGTCGTCGTCGTCGTCGTCGTCGTCGTCGTCGTTGTCGTCGTCGTAGTAGTCGTCGTTGTTCTGTCGCGCCACAGCGATAGCCTACGTAGGTACTCACCTCGCGTGTACACTCGTACGAATAAATTTCCCTACCATGCGAACGCAATGTGTAACTATACATAAAATTACTTGCCTCTCCATGTTTTCCTTTATCAATCTGATCAGATTCTTGAACTCTTACTCATCCTAGTATTATTTCGATACGAATTTCAAACGCAATTGTGTTTATTAAATTTAGCTCGCAGGTCAGAATATAGCGGACAACAATAAGAATCTTTAAAATGCAAGTCTTAACGCAAAGCCCGGTACAACGTGTCTCTTCCCTTAAGCACGAACGTTGTCGGAACGTGCTCGAGCTGAAAATATGTACATAAGAAAATATCTTTTCTTCGAATGACGCGTTGGAACGCGTCTACGTTTAAGTCTCATCAATGCGTAGGACAAATCGTTAGTTTCGAATAATCATTTATATGATGTACATAATAACAATAAATATTTGAACGAGGACGATTAGTTCTTCGTTAAATTATGAAATTTGTTTCCTGTGATAGCGTACATAGTACATATATTGTATTCTTTTTCTGTTCTTTTTTTTTTTTTTTTTAGTGCTCCGCACACGAGGAAAGTATGGGAGTGCCCCTCGAAAATTATTCCGTGGAGTGTATCTTGGCATCCGATGATTGTGCGCCAGAGGCTAGAGTGGTCTCTCGGAGTGCACGTGCGCGTTGCACGTGTTAGCTGTGGGGCGACCCTCCCGATTCCTGACTGCCTACAGACTGTAACATCGTATCAGGGCCACGTCGTGGCTATAACTATATATACAGCCACTCTGCTTCATCACGAATTTTCTCTCTCTATTTTTCTCTCTTTCTCTCCTCTCTCTCTCTCCCTTTCTCTCTCTCTCTTTCTCTCTCTCTCTATCTCTTTCTGTCTGTCTATCTCTCTTTCTCTCTCTCTCTCTCTCTCTCTCTCTCTCTCTCTCTCTCTCTCTCTCTCTCGCTCTATTCATTGCGAGGGAATAACACGACGTTAATTGTAAACGTGCAGGGCTTCTCAATTGCTATCATCCTCATTTTCATCGTTCACGCGAGAAATTTCTTCTTTATCATCGTGTTGGCCCCGAGGCGATAACTTGATAAAAAGGAATGAGAATGAAACGAAAACCTGGGAGACAAGAATCAGTGCCCAAACTAACGCGAAGATTCGCTATTTGCGCAGCTGTTCAAACGGGCCGCGCCGCGAAAATACTACCTCGTCATCCGTTTTTAAAATATCCAAGTCCTCGAGCGTGCCACGGCAGACGCTCGAACGTACGCGTTAGGTTAGAGGTACATACGATACGAATCGTCATTAACGCAACTAGATACGCATCTTGACCCCTTTCCGAGATACTTGTGCTTCATCTAGGACTCAACTCACAATCTAGAACAAATTATGTTAGAGGCGAGCTTGGAAATAGAAATTTCTTTATTCTTTACGTGCCCTAGTACTTTTGTTTCACTATTTGCCGTAAAGTAAAAAAGAATCTGCTTTTTTTTATTTTTTTATTTTTTTTTATCGTATTCGAAATTAGACATGCAACGTATCCTGTTTATTCGAATAATAAAAGATAATGTAAAATCTTGGATATTGTTCTTGTCTATGCTGCTGTTCCAAGATTCTTTCTTTTATTCAAGATTTTTCATTTCAGGTACAAGCGTAAACTACGTCTTATTTCTTCAACGAGACTACCCGATGTAGAAGTATTATCGTAAAGCATTGTCATTGGCACGGATCACCTTGCATAGGTATTTTTGTATTTCGTTTATGTGTTATGTGCGTTGAACGTCCCTGAACTGGATATTAATCCATGTTTCAGCGAATTCCTATATTTCTCAAAGCGACCGTATACCCATTCCATCACCATGCAGGTACACGAACGCATCAGGTATTTCTCAGGTGTTCCGAAATACTTTGTTACCATTCGGACACAGTACTTGGTATATAACTTCGTTTCACGAGCTCCTTCCTTTTTCGATCTTCTTCACCCATCACCTTTCTTCGCTATCTCACGGCAATACAATGGCCGTGGTTTTAACCCAAATACGATGAGCTTCGAAGTAGCCGTAAAATCTGTGTCTGTATAGGTAACTACGATAGTATGCTGCAACGTACATGCATTCCGACCATGGTTGCGGCGCATTCGACGAAATTCTCTCAAGAAGAAAGAAACGTGTCTTTGCGTGTACATAACTTCCGATCTTTTAAAGAATCGAGTCTCCTTTTGTGTATATACACATATTTTACAGTGTTTCCTATTATATTTTCATTCGCATGAGATAATTATGAACGACGATAAAAAAAATGACTCTTCTTTCGAAGCAGTATATCCCGTTATGATTACTGCGATGATTACTCGTTAGAGAATACGTTTTCTCGTTAGCAAAAGGGTCTAAAAGAAGGCAAGAAATTCTTTATCGATGGCGATAGCCCCGTAACCCTTGTCGTCGTAATTCTTAAACGAACAACCTCGACGCTGTAATAAATATCATGGTCGAATCACGAAAAGTCGAAAGTACGTAAGCCAGCCGTGAAAAGCCATTCGACGCCACTTCTCTTTCGATCGATAAGAGAACGTAACAAGGACCACCTCTGTTCTCCTTTGACTTCGTGTCCGTCTGTTTTCTATCGAAATTTTTACGTTCACGTCGCGAGTAACGGCGATGAATCCATTTCATGGTCATCGTAGCGAGAAAGTTGTGCAGGAAAGTTCCTATCTCTCTCACTTTGCCCCTTCCACATGAAGATAAGCGAAGCAAAAACATGGCGACAAATTTTGCGAGAAGTGACCGGAGAGCGGCTTTTACGCGTAAGTTGCCAACGTAGCCGCAGGGCTAGCAGGTAAGCCGGCAAAGAGATAAAGAAAATAAGAAGTAAAAGAAACGAAGAGAAAAAAGAACGAGAGATCCGAAGAAGGTAAAGCCCAGCGACGAAAAAGAAAAAAAAAGAGACAAAAATGCAGTGGCTCGACTCCCATATATATATATATATGTATATATATATATATGTATATATAAATATATATATGTATGTACGTGTATGTATAAGTTGCATTGTGCTTCGAGATGCTAAATGTTTTGGTTTTTTGGATATAGAGAATGCATTTTAGTGCACCTGCTGTTAATGTTATATTTTGAGAAATGGACTTATTCATATGATATATATATATATATATATCTTTTTCCTCTCTTTAATTATTTACATGGAATAAAGATTTTGTTTAATACAATAGTTATTTCCTCGCGATAGTCCGTTAATAAAAAAAATAATAAAATCATAAACGACGATAATAAATTTATTAATATTGTAAAGTGATAGTTTCCCTTCGAAACCAACATGTCGAAAAGCGAATGATTGGTTGTAAGACCGAGCGAACGAGACAATGTGGAAAAATTCAGCGCGAAGGTGAAGAGAATAAAAAATAAAAAGAAAGAAAAAAAAAAGAAAAAAAGAAAAAAGAAAAAAGAAAAAAAAGGGAGGAAAGGAGGAGAAGATGGTGAGAGAAAGAACGTGGAGGGGAAGGAGCGTTCGCAAAGGCGACCGAAGGTGGCTGGTCCGGTTGGTTTGGCCCCGTGGGAACGCGTTGGTGGCCAGCTGCACTGATTGCCGTGAGAGGACGTGACGTAGTCGCGTCGGACGTACATACAGACAAATACATGGTTAGATACGTGAACGTAGATAAGTGTGTAGGTGCGCGAGCGAGCGTAATGCGCTTTTGCGCGTGTGCGTCGTGATCGGCTCGGTGGACCGAGAGTAGAGGGAGAGTCCGACCGACCGAGAGTGGCTCGGCAGTCCTGTCGAGAGGCAGGAAGAGGACGAGAGGAGAGAGAGGTGCGAGAGGAGACCGGTGGGGTGCGCGCATTCCAGAGAGGCGCCGGCCAGTCTGCGGCACACCTGCGCGTTCGGTTGAATCACGGCGCCTCCGACATAACTCGATCTCTCTCTCTCTCTCTTTCTCTTTTTCACTATCCTTTTCTATCTCTTTCTCCTCACATGCTGTTTCTCTCTCATAGCTCCAACGACGTTCCTTCCTTCTCCTATTCGCTCGCTAAAATGAGCCCGCAGCTCGTTCGTCTTTGTCGGCCTTAACCATGCCAACACGTTCTATCTTTATCCGTCTCGCACTTATATTAGTGGTATTCGCTATCTTTCTCTCTCAGTTCCCTTTATTCTCGGCTACACTCGTTTCGGTGCCGAGACTCTTTCCTTGACTCCTTCTCCGATTCATCTTCTATCTTCCTTTTCTTTATTATACTTTCTATCTTTCTTTTTCACCCAAGCACTCTCCGACGGAGTGCTTCCTGACGGACCCTCCGCAGGAGGACCGACGGCCCCCGAGAAAGCAAGCGAGGGGGCAGCAAGCGAGTATGCAACAGAGTAGGGCTGATGTTACGTACGATCGGAGGCGTGCAGGTGTCCGTTCGTTCGTCCGTCCGTCCGTCTATTCGTCCGTTCATCGATGCTACGCTGAGATCTAAGCCAACACCGTCCAGTCTCGTAGCGAAGGCTACAAACGATCACCTGTTTAGCCAATCAAGACACCTGTTCCCTCTCGTACTCTCTATGATTTTTTCCCATTCATTTTTGCAAAATCATCGTCTAAAATAATCCCGTAGCGAATTATAGTTTTTTAACTCGAAACGTCATATATCGTCATATTATACATTCCATGGATTATGATTTTAGCAACAATTCGTTTTTCCTTCAGACTTTGCTATTATTCGAAAATCAAATGAAAGAGACCAAAATAATTTGGCGTTCTTTATTACGTTCTTCATCTAAAATTTGTTTTATATTAAAAGGATTGAGATAACAGAAGTATGAGGAGAAAAGAATTGCACAGTTAAGACGGTAAAAGGGGTGGGGTGAGAGAGACACGAGACACCACGATAATCTCGCCGGACGTGAGAGACTCGAGACTCATTCAGTGACGTGGGAACGCGTGCAGATACCATTCATAAGTCGGACCGTACGAGCGAGTACCGGAGAACTCACGAGCGTGTATAAGCGATCGTGCACCCGTACGAACGCGTTCCGTTGTTGAAAGGGTCGATCGCCTGTCTCGGTTTATTGTACGAAGTTACCGAAGCGATACCGAAGGGTCATGTCGATGATGGATCTCATCATGCGCCTCCAACTTTCTTTTTCCAATACGATAATAATCTATTAAATATATATTTCCCATTAAGTTGGACCTTTCAAATAAGGAAAATAATAATATTTTCTTTCATGAAATTTTAATGAAGTGAATGATTCAAAATAAATACGCATTGTTGTAAACGTATATAGTTCATTTGTTTGTCTTCAATGTCGGATCATAGCCATCGCTAGAGCAAAGCGAGAGAGCCACCGAGAGAACCCGCAGCCTTTCCTTCGCGGCTCTCCTCTCTCTCTCTCTCACTCTTTCTCTCTCTTTTTCTCGCCAACGAGCGTCGTGGGATTCGTGGGAGCCTGTTTTCCGTTCTTGCCTCGTTCCATCGCGAACACGGACCCCATGTCGTTGTTTTGTGTTGTACGACCACGGAGCTGAGCTCGAATTTCTGCCAAGATCGGAGAACGAGTGCCCCCGGGCGACATCGTCTTTGGACCCTCTCAGAGAAAAAGGGATTGAAGGAGACTCGCGAGAATTGCCGAAATCGTTTCAGCCGATCGTAGTTCTTTCGTTTTAGTCGTTCACTTCGAACTTAGGTTCGTGCGAAAATCGATAAGAGAAACAGACAAAGAGAGAGAGAGAGAGAGAGAGAGAGAGAGAGAAAGAGAGAGAAAGAGAGGAAGAGAGAGAGATAGGGAGAGAGATATAAGAAGAACGTGGACTATATTAACTGTTTTAGAGAGACTAAAAACGATAGAGAATGTATTCTTTGTGCTAAAGATTCGTTATTACATTATATGTAACATTGTTATATCATCTTAAACATATATATATATTCGAGGGTAGCTATGATCGCATCTGCACTCTGTAGGGTTCTAGGAACCCTAGCTTTTTTAGGGCTGAGATCCCTGAGAAAAGCATAGTATTCGTCCAGGTGTCGTGAATAACAGCACCTGGAGGTACTTCTGTTTACCGTTACTTTCGTTTGCGCTCGTTAAAACATTTCCAAGCTTTCCGTCGAGAAAAGACAAAGCGTTCTTCTTGTTGGCCTCGACTACTTGTAAACAGTATTATATATCGATTGTGATAATATCATTGGAATACGAATTTTCGATGAATTCTTAGATAATTTATGTGTCCGTCTGAAGGGAAAAAAATTTCGAAAGAAAATTTTTTCTTTACGAAAGAAAACGAACTCTGTGGATTCTTGACAGATGATTAGAAGGAAAAAGAAAAAAAAAGGAAAAAAAAAAATATGTACACATAAAAAGATATCTTTTGATTATATTATCGACTTTTTCCGCTGGATTAACCAATGATAAAAGAACACTTGGGTTTGTAAACTTTATTGCATTTCCTCTTGATGAAAGAGAGGGGAGATATGGGAAATACGATCGGGCCTTTGGGGTCGAGGTCATCGGGAAAACTCGAGAATCTGTGCAGGTGTCGGGTGAATTACGACAGCTGTTTCGTTCCCTTCTTAATTCTCTTTCTCTCCCTTTCTGCTTGGAGAAACCGAGGTTTTCCA